CCCCTCCTCCTCCTCCTCCTCCGCCAGAGAAGGTGGATTCTGAGCCACCTCAATCCACCGTGAAAGGCGTTTCGGCCGCCGCCAATGGCAATGGCAAATACTGCCGCCTGTGCGACATCCACTTCAGCAACTTGTCCACGTTCATTGCCCACAAGAAGTTCTACTGCGCTTCTCACGCAGCCGAGCATGTCAAATGAACCGTCAACGTTTTTGGCCGATGCCTAAGTCGCTAGAGAGGGGGACCACGTTGCCATTGCAGGCCAAGAGTTCGACAGCCCGAGAGACAGACATTTAAAGACAGATGGACAGAGCACCGTGCATCACCTTTAAAAAAAAAAAGCAGTGTTTTTGAATTATTAGTTTTGCTTGGTCTTATAAATATCAAGATCTGTCAGTCGCTGGTGATCAGGGCACTCACAGGTTTATTTTTTCTGGTACTTTGATGCCCAATGGTGCCATCCACTTGCCAGTCTGCATGGAACTTTGACTGCGCCGCCTTCACGTAAATTGAATCATCGGCGTCATCACTTTTGTTTTGTGTCGACCGCCATTTGAGGTGGTGAATTGTGCAAGCATCCGATCATTTTTTTTTTGTAAGCGGGTAAAATCACTCTATATATCCGTGTATATAGTACATATGTGTATGTGTGTAGCAAATGTGGGGAGCGACAGGGCACTGGTTCGTGGACCCCGCTATAATTCCAGTGGCGTGGCTTTCCCCCAGCCATGGATAACATCAGAAAGGGAAGTGGCATCTGAACCTGTTTTGGGTCTCCCATAGGTTGACTCAGCCTTAAATGAGTACCTTGGTGTGGAATGTTGCACTGCGGAGACAAAGGCAAGCCAGGCATGGTGCTGGCCACACCACCTGCTTGTTTGCCATACCAGCCTTAATAGGTTCTCGCAAACAGCACTAACCCTTGCAGTCTGTATGGCTAAAATTGAAGGCGTTTTCTCTTTCTTATCTTTTTGGCATTGTGTATATGTTTGCATACGTATATATGTGCACGTATATATATGTAAATGTAAGATGCTGTAATGCATTCCACGAGGTTTAAATAATTTCCACGAGACGCGAGCACCGCCCGCGTATTTGCGCGGGATACACGGCTTGGGTGGAGGGTGGGGGGGGAGGCAGGGGGGTGGGGGGGGGCGGCGTGACGTCAGCGCGACGCACGGACCCGCCTCAACGCTGTGGCGTGAGAGTGACGTCATCACGCAGGTGCGCGCGGTGACGTCGCCACCGCGTACGTGCCTGCCCGTGTGCCAGCTAGCCAGCAAAACATTTTTTTGTTAAAAATAGAATGGAGTATGAAGTTCATGGTGGTGCAACAGAAAAATGTTATAATTTGTGAACTTAGGCAATAATAGCCTTGCCTAGAATCATTTTTGAGTCGCTTTTTTGCTTTCAGCATATGTATATATGATATTAGATTCTGTTATGGTAGCTCAAATATGTGTCAAAGACTATAGTTTAGTTAGCATCTTATTTAAATACGGACAAGACAAGAACGCAGAAGCACTACATTTTATAAACGTGTATCAAGTAATTTTAGATATTAGCGCGAAGGTCTTGTCTGCTTGGGTGCGTTTTGCTTCCAGTTAAATGTTCATTGACGAAACACTTGATATATGTCATTGTGCTTAGAGGGAAACATTACCATATCAAAGGCAGCAGGTAAGTCATGCATTAACAAATGGTTTGATGCAACCAATAGAACCCATACTACACTAATATCAAAGCCATGGTGTGGCATCATTTTCATCCCCGCAGGGATGATGATGATGAAAATGATGGAGTGGTTCGACCACTAACTTGGATTTGAACTCACAACCTCAATATCAATGTACACCGCCCAATCGTAAATGAGTAGACGCCCCGAAAATCAATGCCGTTGCACTGTCATTGACAAACCGAATTCTTCTAAAGTAATGAATATAGCATTGTTAAATATTTAACCAATGCGATTGGCACTTATTTTCTCGTAAAACACAAGTTGAGGGTGGATCAGTGGTGCAGCGATTTTTGCACTGGGCTCTGATCCTGACGGCCTGAGTTCGATTTCCAGCCAGGGTTAACATCAGCTGAACCAGTCCAGGACTGCTCCATTCACCAACCTTTACTTACCAGAGTGGAGAAGTATGATCAAACAATCCTCCTGACCGGCACGGCAGTATATGGACCAAAGGCTGAACATCGTCATTTGTGATCATTCACTTTTTTTAAAGTTCATGAACTCTGCATGGCAAGATCATTCTGAAAATGTGTCTGAAACATATTTGGGCTATACATGAAAATGAAATCTATGTGTTTCTGTACAGCTTGTACTAAATAGTTCAAATAGTCATTGACAGGGCATGCTGGTTTTCTGATTTCAGCGAAGGCGATAGCTGTCAGTCTTTTCCCCTGGATGATGGTGAGAGAGGTGCCATAGTAATCAGTGTGGTTACTGGTCAAACACTTCGGGTTATTTACGCGAAGGTTTATATATATATGATGGCTGTTGTTGACACACAAAGAATTTGGCAAACGTGTCTTCACACACGTGCAATGGAGTTGTGTTGTCAAGTCGACCAAAAAAATAGCTTGCTTTTTTTTACGATTATCATGTTTGTTTGTCCATCTTTAAGTCTTTAACATTATTTAATTACATTTCATGTACATTCCAAAAGTCGTGTACAGATTTATAACAAACAAATAATCTAGGCAAGCTGAAAAATAATAATATAATATGATATAACTAAAGGTGTTGTGGCAAATACATTTTGATTTATTTGCTGATGATGCTAGTAAATAATGAAAAGACACGAGCATTAATAAAAAAAAATTGTATTTATTTTGAGCAATGCAGCCAGGCACAAATTCAGAGGTATTTTAACTTACACGTACGTGAAATATTAAAACACCTGTGATGTTCGCTCCAATTATTTTAATGACATCCATTCGCCACGCCACCAAAAGGAATATGTATGTGTACAACAGACGCACTTTTTTAATACTGTCTGAATAAAATTCAGTTTATTGGGAGGATGCAATTAATAACATAACAGATGTTTCCACTGTTTTGTTGCATTAATCAGTCGAGGGGAAGTCATCATGTGACAATGTGCTCGTATGTGAGACCCCTTATGATCTTGAGGGTTCCTTTTACAGGGTGCAACGTTAGGCTCGGGTTTTGTATGTAATTTGAGCTTTGTAAATAAATCCTGCATGATACATCACATCTTTACCCCCACCCCCCTCCACAGGAAAAAGTGTTGTATATCTTGTAAACATCATGTTACGAAATAGTAATTTAAATATATGTAAAAATATATATATATAAACCTATAGCAGCCAGCGTTAGACGTTTTTTCGACAATTAGTATTGCTACTTATGAGGCGTTTGGGGTATAACCCTTGAAGGGGCTCTTACTTGCATACATTCCCTGAAAGGAGCTGTGAGGCCTTCTATTTGTTAACGCAGACCCAGCTAAGCCTCATTGGCGGGGCACATTACACGCCCCTCGCTGTGCCAGTGGCGTCCATGGATTTGAATGGGAGGTTGCCCCTGAAGTAAAAGTCAAATGAGCACTTCCCTTTATCCGCTCTGGATTTTGCCCCTGCTCCTGTCTTCTCATGCCTCGCACGACGCGCGCAGACACACAGACACACACACACAGACACACACACACAGACCTTCGCCTCACTGCACACAACACGCAGCTCTGGCGATCCCCCCCCCACCGCAGAGGCGCATCACCCACGGGCTATGATGCCACTTGTAATGTGAGACTGTTGCACCATAAAGTACTTCTATTCTGAAGCAGCTGTTGTTATGAGCCCTTTAAACCGTCCAGTGCATATATTGTGACGTGCGTTGAATGTCATTGGTAGTGTTTATATTTTGATGTGAAAGGGACTGTGAAAATGCAGTTTTTATATATACAGTATATAATTTATATCAATTACTTTTTTTACTGTACAGAGCACTTTGTGAACCCATCGATGTGGCTGAATGGTTTTCGTGTCGTATTGTTTATTTTTTTTTGTTTCTAGGCGTAACAGGCGCTGAATTGGTTGGGAATCGGTGGGGAAAGGGCCAGGCATCAAAACGGGAGGGATTTCAATGCGAGGGTTTAGAGGGTGTGGGAGACATTGCACAGGAAGACGCGGGGGGGGGGGGGGGTCTCCAATTACACGGATCTCTTTTTTTGCTAATGTTTATATTTTGAAAATTTATATTTTGCATATTTGTCATTGCATGTGACAGGTTTTGCATGCCCTATTGTGATGAACAAATCCATGAATCGGTTTAATGTGGCTGGTATGCATTGTTCTGTACAAAAAAAAATATCCGCTTCTCCGCATGGAATGTTGGTTAACGATGCCAGTTTATTAAAATATACTGTATGTCAAAAAAGTCTTTACTTTGTTATATATTAATCGAATCCCACAATACATTCATGAGCGGTGGTAGCCGTGGAATAAGCCCTTGGCGATGGAGGGCTTGGAGCAAGGTGCAGTAGGCGAGGATGGTGTAGCTTCAAATCTAGAATGATGTAGCCGGTTTGTTATCTTAACGAATGAGCAAGCCATGTATTGTTAGGGCTCCACGAGTGAGGCCCAACCCCACCGGCCACTGTGAACACGCAATCTCAATTTGTAATCTGACCGCATGGGTCGGTGGTGCCGGTGACAAGCACTTCTAAAATCTGGAGGTTGGAGGGACCCACTTTATGGGGCGATTTTTTTGCTCCCATTTCTCCACCTTCTTTCGCAGAACGACGTCCGAGTTTGGTAGAAATTTGGAAACTTTTCAACGTTTTGCGATTTGCGCGTGGTCGATCCACAAATTCGAAGGAGACATCGCAGCGCTAACTCCTGACGCGGTTATCCGGCTTAACCACCTGAATGTGACATTGTAGTTGTTGCTTTGCACCACATAAGTCGTACGAAAGAAGAGGAATACAGTAGATGTATATACACAGGACTTAAAAATAACAGTCAGACAATGTACTAATCTACATCATTCAATCATTTATTTACAAATGAAATCCAAACGACCCTTTACAAACGATTTTAAGAGCAATCTTCAAAAGCTCCTCCATTTTATATATATAAAAAAGGAAAGTCATCTGCATTATAGATGTGGTTTCACGAGACATCAGTATAATCTGGCTTTTAGGAAGCTCTTACGGAGCCTGTGTTTAACATCAAAGATGGTCATTCCTCACGATAAGTCATCGAGTGTTTGCTTTGAGACCCAGATGACAAGTTTGGAAGTGTGTGTGGCTACTCTGGCTCTTTGAGCCTTGACACTTCGAATAAACATTGGTTTGCTCGAGGCTATTAGTTTTTTTTGTTCAATTAAATATAAATAATTGCTACACTTGTTTTCTTTAACATAATTATAACAGACAAATAATGCAGTTTGAAACCTTTAAACATTTAAAATGTAACCTTACAACCAACACGACCAGTATTCACACACGAGTCAAGCTGAGGCTAGTTAAGTCAGCAGGCCCGATCTTGGGCTTTGAACACCCACACGCACAGCACAGTACATACCACAGTACTGCATAGGAATTGTGCTCATACATTTTTTTTAAATCAACAATTGCCGTGGGAGTTGCTCTTTAGAAGTGCACAATTCATTCTCTCCCGACACCCCACAGTCATTTTTGGTAACCCATCATTGCGTGTAACTTCCATACGACAGAAACGAGATAATTTATGAACACATCGCGTCAGCTCGGTCGATGTCACCGCTCCACCGTGGTCCACTTGTCTCAGTTGCCTCATTGTCTGCTCACATTGCAGCCAACTCGAATGCCCCTCTTAAAGAATGCACTCACACTCGCTTTGTGCATGCCCGCTGACCATAACAGTCCCTTTTTTTTCGTTAGTTTCTCTCGTTAATCTCAGTACACGTTCATTCATTCTCTCACAAGGCAGAATCCCTCGGGCGAGCGTTCACCTACGCGCAACAAAAAACCGGGCACTCCCCCTACGATTAATGAGGATGTTGAGTTCGATTTGTTATCGATTTGAGAAGCAAGGGAATACTATTACTCTGCATGGTCATTGTGATGAAGTCAAATTGAAGAAAAGGACACACCATGCCTCCTATTACACCGGCATATTTACGGACGAACCAATGTCATGGAATGATGGTGGAGCAATGATCTCCTGGCGTGGCAGTTGAAAGAATGGGTGACTCTCAAATGTGTTGGCTTCAAACAGAGCTCCCCTCGATTTGAGAGCTCCCTCGATTTGAGGCCCTTCGTGCAGGAATGGCATAAAATAATCACTTGCAGGGCTGCAAGTTTTGTACTTTCCTGGAGTTTGTTTCCTACGAAAAAAATGAACTTGCAAATAATGATGACACAACTGATGTAATACACACACGCAGCTGTTGACCATCTGGGAAATGTTCCAAAACTTTCTCAAGTCCTCATCAATCAAAGCAGATATCACAGCATATGCACATCACGCAGCAAATGAATGCAGACATGTGTCTGGCCCAGACTAAATATTTTGGTGTCATCGGCGGTGGCAACACTTTAATGTGCTTCTTGTAAAGGTCTATAATCCGGGTTGGCAACCTGCAGCTCCAGAGACGCATGCGTCTCTTTAAGGGCTGCTGCTTCGTGACCGTTTTTTTTATTCAGGACCACCGTCTCGGATTCGCCACACAGTGCATTGGCGGCTCTTCAAATATTTCGGGGTTTTTTTACCGAATTCGAAAATAACTGCTCTTCTTGTTAATTTGGTTGCCAACCCCTGGTCGGTTGTCATATCCAATGTATATTTTTTACACAATTGCTGAGCAGAGACCCAAAGGACCCACAATGTCAAAAACACATTAACGGTAATCGCGGAAGTAGCAACAGATGATTTATAAGAACGAAACTGACCGCCGGTGAGCTAATGACTGGGGTGAATCAGCGAGTGTTGGGCCATTCGTCAACCCGCCTGCTTTACGTTGAATTCTATCCAGTGCAGTGAGATCGGAACTGGGTGCTCCAACGCAGACATGACAATATTACAGAGTAGGCCGAATGTATGCTCTTTTATAGATGTAATAATTGTTTGGAGTTAAGAGGCTTTAGCACAGAAAGGAAAAGTGAGTGTCTTCAATGCCTATTTAGCCAGATTAGTTATACAGCCAGGCGCATGTACATTTGCTTTAATTGCCCACAGAAGGATGTTGGTGCCTATAAATTTTTGCCACACAATTTCTGCTCCAGTTCATGGAGTAAGATGTGAAGACTATATTTGAACTGCAATGGTATTTACGTTGACTAAGAGACCAGAGCTGCTTATTGGGAGATACAAGTCAATTATAGATTTCAAGTTTTCGTGACTGCAAGGATCCATACTCTTTGGTTCTTTCGGTAAAGTCACGTAGGTGAAAAAAATAATAAATAAAATATCAAATAAAAATAAAAACGTCGTGATTTATTTATTTCAATTTTTTATTTTTATTTTATATTTTTTTTATTTATTTTTTCACCTACATGACTTTACCGAAAGAACCAAAGAGTATAGATACAAGTCAACCTTGGTGGTTTAGTGTGTTGTCATTAGTTGAAGATAGTCTTGCTAAGATGATGGGGTCATGATGTATGAGATATATTCGTGGACCTTCTGGACAGTGAGGTTCTGGCGAGGAGGTTTCTAACCAACATACACTACATTTATAATCACGAGTCAATTTGACAATGTGTAGTTGAATAATTATTGTACTACTGCCACTGAGGTCAGAGCATTTTGGAGGTGCAGAATTCAAATCCCATTCAGGGGTCAACCCATTCCCCCTTGGATAAATAAAATATGCACAACTCTTGTCAGAAGTCAGCATTGCTCATCCTATGGAGAGACGGGCATATGCCGTAGAAATGTGGAATTTAAAATCATGGCTAAGAGATTGTCAACTGAAAAGACATTGCTTTGTTTGAGTTGAGAGAAAGTAGCTTTGGTGTGGACCAACTCTAAAGAAAGGTCTCAGTGACTTTACCGAAAGGCCCAAAGAGTCCACCAACGGTCCTTTACGATCTAACAACGAGAATCTCCCGTCAACCATAACAAAAGAAACTGCTGAAACCAACAATGGCAAAACTTCATCATCCTCACATTGCAGCATAATTATCAAAGAACCTTGTGACAGAAGAAAATAATAAATGAGTGCCGCATTTGCATGAGGTTGGGTAGAGGAGATGGGTCCAGACATTGGGAACGATGAGGTGCGAGGTCACCCAATAGGGATGTGTATTATCGCACCACAATGTCCTCTTCATTTTGCACTGGAGCACCGGGCGTGTAATTCCATTCATTGAGCACCAGCAATGATGACTGTAAACACGCGCGCGAGCACGAGAAAGACCCGTGCTGTTCAGCCCCCCCGCAGAACATCGGAGAAAGTGTCTGCTACGGAAACGCCCCACTAAAACTGATATTGGCAAACAGACGAGGGGGCGATGTGACCAGCACCAACCCTGGCTACCTTTGTCTCCCCAGTGTTTACGTGTAACACACCAAACCGGATCGTCACTTAATGTTGAGTCAATCTCGAGCCGGGGGGGGGGGGGGGGGGGGGGGTCGATGTCGGGATGGTCCAGATTGCACCTGGTTCATGGTCAAGCAATCAAACCGAGTTCACAACGATCACAGCAGAGTGTGATAGCCACCACCACTACACCTCACGGAGACAGGAGATCCCCCAAGTGACAAGTGCTGGTAGCGGGCACCTATTGTCGGCTGGGATGGCGCACAACGAGTTGCCAGTCAGCCCCGTGATTGACCGCATTTGTCTCCCGAATTCTAACGTTTACACTCCTCACTAGGTACTCACTTAAGGCCGAGTTGACCTAGGAGCGGCCCAGGACAAGTCCTAATAACGCTTGCTACCGATGTTAGCCACGGTCAGGAATCCAACTTCATTCAGGCCAGCTGGGCTATTTTGCACACAATGCGCTAACCACTGTGCCATCATCCTCCCCTCCCCTGCCCCCCCTCCCCCCCTCACGCACACACACGTGGACGTATACACAGGACACATAACACGAGTACATTTGCACCTTTGCCACGCAGCAGCAAAGTTGGCTGACAATATTAAATGTTGAAGGCTCCCGGATTCAGGATGGACAGAGAGTAGGGGGGGGTGGGGCTTAATAACGGGATCGGCGAGGCGCTTGGTGTCAGGGGGGATGTGAAGAAGTGGGGGGAAGGGGGGGGGGGGGTCACCGATGCAAGTGGTTATTGGCTCCGGCACAGGAGCGGCAGCACTGCCGCCCGTAGAAGCTGTGGCTGCACATGCCGTGCTGGGGTACCAGCGAGCACCAGCCGAATTGATCCCGGCAGCCCGAGTCTTCCGCTGGAACGAGAAGGGCGCCGAGTCGTCAAGGGAGCGGGAGTACCGACGGCTGAAACAAACGGTGAAAGGGTGCAAGCGCTGCAATTCGTTTGCTTACGCGCCACTGCTGGCGGAAGGGAGGGGCAACCCCTCCACTGCAGGGAGCTCCAGTAGGAGGCCCTCTGGAAGGTTTTCAGGTCTACTCATTCATGCTGGCGAGATGTCCTGAAAGATTGCGAGAGTACCCACAATTCACCCCACCACATGCAACCTGCCCAGCAATGTAATGGGATTTGTATTTTTTTTTCATCGAATAAAGAGACAATCAAAAACCATCACCTTGCCAAGATTTCCAAAATCATCAGCAAAAACACAAGATCCAGGTTCGATTTAACACAGTATGTAAAATTCGTGATCTGATCCCATCTGTGAAGGATGTGATCCCTGACATGCAATACCCCGGCGTCTACAAACGAAGCTGTGTCTGCGGCAGTGGTTACATTGGGGAAACTAAGCGACATGTCTCGGACCGTGTTCGTGAACATAAGAAGGCAGATCTGAAACACGGTAGAACCAACACCTCGGCCGTGGCTGATCATTGTTTTAATGCGGTGGGATCACACGAAATAGATTTCTCTAAGACGAAGGTACTTTTAAAATCCACTGGCTATCAACAAAGATTCGTTCATGAAGCCATCCACATATATAGACACAGACACAAGTTCAACTGAGAAGATGGGTACAAATTTAGCAATCATTGGAAGGACGTTATCAACCAGTTTAAGTCATAACTGTCTTTCATGTCCCCATCCTACCAATTTTACATTAACAGGTAAAATTTATCACACTAACACAGCCACCTTCACGCGCCGACCTCGAGGTGGAGGCCGCTCACTGATCTTACATTAAAATGCAAATTTTTACCTGGCAGCCCTTTGATTGGTGGAAAACCAACTACTATCGTGGTTGCTGCTCACCACTTATATTAACATTGGCTGCTGACATTTGGGTGACGCCCTTTTCAAACCTTTATAAACAGTTTGCCTTTAGAAGCTAACCCCCTTTTCCTGATGACGACCGCTTGTGTTGCGATCGAAACGTCGTAGTTTTTTGTTATTTTCTTTGAACCTATCTACGTGAATATTTATGGAATAAGTCAATGGTTTGACATGCGTGAAAACTGAATGCACCTACACCATCCCAGCGTGGGTAAAAAAGTCAGTTCGTTTGATTTACAGCCCCAATTGGTTGACATACCGTGACCAAGTACAGAGCCAATTCATGATCATACTCACGATTTAGTTGGTGTGAAGTGTACGTGCAAAAAAATCTGCGGAACTCGCCGTGGGTAGAAGACTAAAGTTAAGTCAGAAGTGCTCGCGCGACTGCGTTTCTAAGAGGGCAGCTGTTGAATGAGACGCAGATAGACGAGCAAAAGTGTTGGATGGCGCTCATCTCTGCTGGCAGCCTGGACTCAGCGGTACAACAAAAATTCCACTTTCAGATTGTGGACAACCGCAGTTTCCCCGACATGGTACAGCACTCTATTATTTTATTAACAGTATTTTATTTACGATAAGAGTGACCGTGTCTGAACTGACCAGCATGGTGAAATTTGTTAAAACCCCATGACAAAATAACATTTGGAGACCTTCATCCAGCAACGGATCTCAGGACGTACAAATAAGAGTGCACTGCTGCCCAGCGCTCGTTACCAGCAGCGGAATAATGTGACTTTGAAGCAATGGGAAGGCAATCGAGCGTGCTTCCACACATGTCAAATATTTAAATGGCGAGAAAAATCCCGTCGTAACAGAATAGCAGAATTCCAGTGCAAGCTGGAAACCCGTACATTTAAAATAACATGCAGAAATATATAAAGAGCATTCAACCCTTTGTGCGTTATGCAAAAAAAGAAACCCATCAGCATTTCCTGAAGAGGTGCATTGTGGTTTGAAGTCACCATCAAAATAATAAATGTGAGCACGTCTGACCATTTCTGTCAGGTCGGTTACATATGGTCAAATTTACCTCGCCAGGTATACAGGAGGTCGTGGGTTTGATCCCGACCCTAACGCCTGTATATTTGGAATTTGCAGGTACCGTCTCTCTCCCCGTTGTCGCATGGACTTTTCCCCCGGTCCTCCGGTTTTTCCTTCCACATTTAAAAAACATGCCTTTAGATGATTTGGCTGGCTGCTATACATTGCCATACAATAATCCACTTCGTTGGGCGATCAATTGTGGCCCGGTCGCCAGGTATATAGCTCAGTGGGCCTTACCTCGTAAAATGTCAAAAGTTTGGTTTTAAATACTTTTTTTATTTTGATAGCGACCGAAGACAAGAGGGCCACAATGCGCTGATGATTCCTTGCACGTTGCACCAACAGGGTGCGGCGGTTCAGCTCCACGGCCACACCTGTGTTGGGCAGGGAGGCGTCGTGAGGGCAGAAGTGAGTGTTGCAGGCCGCGGACATCGGCGGCCTTAGGTGGGGGAGGCACCCGTGCGCCGGGTGACCCTGAGACGCACAGCGCACCGCGCGCGTCTGCACGCCGCCACCGCAGCTCACCGTGCACTGCGGAGACACGGACGTGGGGTGAAAGGTCGTGAGCGCCGAGGAATCACACCGAGCGATCTCGAACACGGCTAGTAGAGGTTGCCACTCTTTACGATTGAAGCTACCGAACGTCCCGTTTTGGTCGGGACTGTCCCTGGTTGCAGAAACACTTTCCCCAGGGGTCCCGTTCAATTCGGGGAAAATTTGGGATTTTGTCCCCAGTTTCAAAATGTTTTCGTCTCGTACTGATTCGGGAACGGGCAAAGGGCAGGGCTACTGGACTATTGGGGTGAGGTTGGCAGTGGAGTGGGAGGGCCACTAACTCTGTGGGCAGTGGTAGTGGTTGAGTGGTGGTGGCCATGTAAGAGTAGGTGGGGCTGACAGTGGGAGAGGCTGCAAGCTCACCCACGTGTCCTGGTTGAGTCTCCAGGAAATTAAACGGCTGTGCCAGCCGCCTTAAGTGACGTTCACTAACACTTGCAAAACAACAGAAGCACCTTTATAGCCTGAACAGACTGTTGGGATAAGTGCTGTTAGTGAACACCTATGAAGGCTGGCACCGACACACGCGGGGATGGGTGACCAGCATCACGCCCGGTCGACTTTGTCTCCCCAGTGACGATGTTTACACACCACACTCGGTACTCATTTGAGGCTGGGTCGACCTAGGGGAGGCCCATGACCAGTTCAGATAATCGTCACCGGTGTTGGCGTTGAGAGGGAATCGAACTCGGGTCACTGGCTTCGTAGCGCAGCACTAACCGCTACGCTACCGCTCCCCATCACACACATATACACGTATAGAATGATATATACTGCACGTAAATATACATTTCCTTTGGTGAGGAGAGAGCACGCTAGAGAGAACGACCACTGCGGATATGGAGTGACAAGACCAGCTCATTTGCATGAGTGAGACGTAGCAATGCATGGAGATTATATGGGGAGGTCTTCATCCAGCAGTGGATATATAACAGCTGCTGCTGATGATGATGTATGCTGTACATGCATGTACACTATGAAATGCATATCTATACTCACGCATATAAAGAAGTGTTCAAATAAACTTTTAAAAGCTGATAGTTAAACCAGTAATAGATAGCCGATAATGGGTTATTCAAAGACATTCCACATTTTGATGCTATCCAATACTTTTTCAATTGTGCTGAATGTAGCGCCTCCAGTGGCTCCATGACTTATGTGTATCAATTGTATGGAACCTACGGATGTATTGGCGGTACACCATTGCAGCATAACACGCCGGTCCTCATAAAACCGTCTAAAAACAAAACATTTTCATCAGCATATCTGTTTATCAGCCTTTTAATTAACCCTGTCGCAAAGTTGACGCAATTCGAAGTTTTATTGCGTCTAATGAAACATCATTGGATATTTTTGCCAGTATAAAAGTATGAAAAATAAGAATAGGTTTTACCCTTTCTGGCGAACAAAACACCAAATAGGAACCTTTCCCAAGGAATCAAATCTGCATTCACCACACACAGTGCTTGTGATGAACATGCAAACAAAACATGCTTGTTAATGTACACGTGGTTAATGCAGGCTTGATTCATTGCAACATATTTCGACTTGGTGTTTGAACATCTTAGCACCTGTTTGATTGCCAGAAAGGGTAAAACATAAAACATATTATTATTTTTCATACTCCTGAGACTTGTTTAAAAAAAAAAGGTCAATATTGACGGTTGATTTGGGTCCGTTGAATCGATGTCGCTGTTGCCCTTGAGTGGAGCTGCAGACTCCCCATCAGAAGTTGCAGCTGCTTTCCCATTTGAACGTGTGACACTAGGAGTCGTAATCTTTTGATGCCACCGTCCGCCAAGAAATTATTCCGAAAATGAATCGAGGAACAAGTCCGACCAAAAGTCCGACCAAGTCTAGGGCACGAGTCAAATCTGCCTTTGGAACACGGGGCCAATCGTCGTCAGGCTGGGTGCTGCGATACGTCAAGAGACTGTGAAGCTCCGTGTTCAGCTGCTCATAACGTTTGTCTTGCGACTGCTGCGACATCACGAGAATTGATTTTGATGCACAACCTCGCAAGATATTCTCACCGGGGTTGCGAATTGTGCGAACGTAAATAATTTATTGCGAAAATTTAGCTTTTTTTTTAAATTCCGCGTACCTATGTACCACCAATACGTTCATATACGCATTGGGGGGGGAAGAAAAAAACGACTCTTACACAATTTAACGCATTAATCTCTCGTGTAAGTATTTATCCGAATGAGAATCATAATCATTATTTGTACTGGAGGAATCTGATGAGCTGTGAAGCTCTTTTTCACAGATTTCCAGTTAGGGCCCGGTGGTCAAGCAAGTTCCGTCAACAAACAATACAAGAAATGCACAAGATTAAGATTGAGGAAAGTTAAGCAAGTCAGTACAAAATGAATAAATGTAGGTATAGCACTGAAGTACAAATTGCACTAATATATACATTTTTTTACGAGTTATTGTTATTTTTAGTATTGTCATTGTAATTGTTGGCTACGTATGTGTGTACTCATACACGTCCGTAGCCAAATCAAATCCTCCGTGCTCAAACGCGTCCTTGGTATGGCACTAATGTCCTTTACTGTTCCCAAGGCACTGGTGGAAATTCCTTATTCCTATGGCAGATGCCAGTGTCTCCGTAGGAAGGGAAAAAAAACGAGCGTTGACTCGTGATACCAAATCATACTGACCACGGAGGAATACTTCGCCACAATGTGTGAATTCTCCGCAACCAAATATGTCCCCGCATTCGTGTTAATAATAATTGGCCACGCTCATTAAGACATGCTGGAAAGTGTTAATGGAACGATGTAAACGCTGCGCGCTGTCTGTTTCTACCCAGAGGCCGTGTTTAATCTCGCCCAGTGCAAACGGTGCCTTGTGTTTGGGCTCCGTGCCTAAGCAAGCCTTAAAGGAAGGTTCACCATTGGGCCCATCCACACACGAATTATCTTACGGGATTTCACATTGTGCCGAGGAAGTGTCGGCGTGTGATAATTGTGTTCCCTTCTCCCCTGCGGTGAAATAGTTCACGCAGGCATGCCTGGTGCCAGCACTGTGGAGGATAACCGTTTGGGCCACGCCAAGCCAAATTTCACAACAAATTCTGCAGCGTCACCCCATCTGCGTGGCCTTACGAGCCACACTCATAAGTTGCTTTGACACATTTGTTTTGCACTCTTTTACCCAGGAAAGCCGCATTGCATCTCGAGCTTCGTTTTCAGGAGGGTCTTGTCAAGTTTTCGCAGTAGAGGGCAACGTTGATAAATGTGTAATCGCAATTGAATAAATTTGATGTTCGGCCAATGCCAGTTACAGTGCATTTTTTTTTTCAACACAGTTCCATGAAACATATCCGACCTGACTATCTAACTGTCCACAGCTAGTGTATTACATGTGGATGGTGTAACTGGCATTTTCTCTACATGTGTTCACAAATCTGATCTTTTCTTAATCTCCTACATCCGCTTACTTTTAAAGCACAGGAACGCAGTGCTGTAACTGTCATTTTATAAACAAGGTCCCCATAGCCAACCTGTCCACATATCGGTCTATACCTCAGTCCCCAGCAAATGAGGTATGTGAAGGATTGTATTGCAACTATGGTATTGAGAGACCACTGTCAGCTGACCACGTGGCACTGCGATTAGAGATTCACAACTTTCAATTATGCGTTCTACTCTTGAACGGGTAGAGGACCGACTCTGACTTCATTCCTGCAGGGCGGATAAAATAAAGTACCATTTGTGGCAAGTTAACAGCGATTGTCGAATGGAGAGACGGGTACTGTTCTTATTAAAGTGGAATCTTCACCACTGGCTCCAGGGGCTTCAGATAGAAACGAGCATCATCCAACTCTTACCTGAGCATGGATGCGTTTAACTTGTAATTACTTTCGACCATTGGAGTGTCAGGTGTGTTTTAATGAAATAGGAGTACAAGGGGTGATCTAAAAGGTTCATGACCGAACGCAGCAATGAATGACCTTGAAGAAAGTGTGTTGCATATCGCAATAGTCCCCGTGCTGTGCAATGCACGTAATTCTATTGATGTTCCAATGTTGTAATCGCCGCCGGGAAAAATTCTCAGTTTTGTTCTTCAAACCACAACAAACATCACTTTCATTATCGCTCGAAAATTGTGTTCCCCCGCAAGTGCTATTTTTTTGGACTGTGAAAACCATGTAGGAAGCACTTAGAGGCCAGCACTGGGTGAGTATTTCGTGTGTGACCAATTCAAGGTAAATTGAAATCCGGAATCATTAAATGGCAGCCATGGCAACTCGAAACCTGTGAAGTGAACCGTTTATCAGGTAGCACACAAACAAAATTACGTCCAACGCCAAAATTAAATATATATGTGACATACTCTTTGGTTATTTCGGTAAAGTCACGTATAAAATAAAGTAAATTAAAAATAAATCACGACGTTTTGGGAACAACACAAGCGTCCGTCATCAGGTGGGACACCCACTTTAGGAAATTGTTTCTTGCTGTGGGTGTCCCACTTGATGGCGAACGCTTATGTTGCGCCCGAAACGTCGTGATTTTTTTTCATTTTTTACGTGACTTTACCGAAAGAACCAAAGAGTATGGATCCTTGCAGTCAGGAAAACTTCAAATCTAGATTGTAAATGTGACATAGCAAACAGTATCGAGGTCCTCAATGCAAAATCCAAGCAACCACCAACAATTAAAAGGGTTCTCAAGAAGAACGATTCAATGGCCTCAGCCAAGTCACGAATGGCTGAATGAATCCACAAAAATCCCTTACTATATTCATATTGGCATTATACCGAAATTGGCACATCCCGGCTCCGGGAGTCCCCAGAGTGAAAATGTTCATCTCATGGCACGACGCCAAGAGTGGCGTTGAGAGCTTGATTGGGGAGCGGACGCCACAGAGTAAATCAACCGCAATTCGATTTTGACAATCCGCCTCGATCGTCGTGTACGTTACACTGAGCGCGCGCGCGCTCTCTCCGTTTTAGCACAACTGCGCTACTTCTGTGCAGGGGCTACGGACTTTTCCCAACACCGCACGCTCAGGGCAAGCCTCAACACGTGGCGCCATCATTTTTGGAGCCCCCCCCCCCTAAGGGGCCTCTTTCTCTCCATGCTAAGTTGTACGTCTAATTTCTGTATCTCTCTCTCTTCCCCTTGAGGTGCACGTTTTTTATGCCTCTCGGGATTTTTTTTCAGCGCCCCTTCTAGATGCGTGTTCCTGTGGAAGCGCGCTGACCGCCCACTGGCTATGGTCTATGTGCACGAGGGAGACCGTCCAAAAGCCAGAGGCAAGAGAAAGAGACAGCGATTTTTTTTTTACCAAACGAAACCAACACAGACAAAAAAAAGACAGAGACAGACAAAAAAAAACACACGTTAACATCCTATTAAGACGAAATTGCGGTGGTCACGGATTCACGAGTAATAACCATAAAAGAGCAGCCCTCTACCATTGCTTGCAGAAAGGCCTCCACGAAAGGGGGCTCTGTTGTAGGACCTCGAGAGGAGATTCGCCTTACTCTCCCTGCTGGCCAAATATTTGGAAGAGGTGGGGGAACCCACAGTTTACCCTACAACACACCACCTCCTCATCCACTGACAATGGTGAACACATATAGACCGCAGAGCGGACGAGGGAGGCAGTGGGGAGCAAGCTTACCGTGTAAAGCATCATGCCATTGCAGCCTCCCCATTGGTGATAACAGTTGCTTCTAATTAACCGGGTGAGAGCCCCACATACGGTAGACGGCCAAGCAGCACGATGGCGAACTGTTAACTACCTCGCCCGGTATACACAGGAGCTCGCGAATTCGATCCCGACCCTGACGCCCGTATATTTGGAGGTTTGCATGTCTCTCTCCCCGCAGTCACATTTTTCTCCGGTTCCTCTGTGGTTTTTTTCCCCCTCCACATTTCGAATTACCGCGCGTTTGGAGCATCTGAGCTGCAATAAATGTCCACGCGGTGACAAGCTACTCCACTCAGGCCAGGTCGCTTCTGAAAAAAAATGGCCATTGCAGCTCAGCGGGCCTTACCCGGTAAAATACAACCTGTTTCATTCGGTAATGGTCGGGGGGCTTATAGTTTCAATATCTCGCGGGGGGGGGGGGTCCGGATGCCGCGCTTCGTCGCCGGGCACCTGCGACCACGTGGCAGAGTCCCACTGCGGGATGGCGTTGCTCGTCACCGCCTTGTCCGCCGAGGCCCCCAGCGGCGCCGCCAGTTTCTGCCGCTCGGCCGGCCGAGGCAGCGCACGGGGCAGCGCAGCAGGGGGACGAGGAGGAGGAGGAGGAGGAGGAGGAGGGCGAGGAGGAGGAGGAGGAGCGGCGGGGCACGACGCGAGCCGGCAGGGCCTCTCCGTGCTGGCGGGAGGCTTGGGAAGTTGGCGGCAGCGGCGGGAGGGCGACTCGCGCAGGGCGCCGCCGGCGTCGCGCTCGCCGCACGACACCGAGCGCCGCTGCACGCCGGGCCCGCACGTCGCGGAGCACTGGCGAAGGCGGGGGGTGGGGGGGGTGGGGGGGGACACGCACGCACGCACGGACGGTGAGAATTCACCACCAAGACGAGAGAGATGGCCACGCAAGACGGTGGGGATTTAGCACGAGGAGGTAAAGAGAGACGGACCATTTTTTTTCCAGCCCAGTAAGAACAAACGGACAGACGAGAGAGAGAGAGAGAAATTAGCAGGCCATGATAAGTAATGCAGACAGACTGAAACACACGGTGATGCAGTGGGAATTTACCATGTTAATAAAAGAGATGAAGGGAGTGACGGATGGAGATCACCCTTCCAAAGACAAACAGTGAACATGTAAAAGACAGCTAAAGGAAGGACACTCAGACTTTACATGTTCTGGCCCATTGGAATGGCAATTAGTGGTATTATTATTTGTAGTCTTTTTTTAACGATGCGATCGCTGAGAGTTTGAGCCCAGTAAGGAAATTTCTCTGGGCTAATTGCAAATAATTAATACAAATGTACGAATGTAAAATGTGTGAATATATATATATTGTGCATGCTAAAATATGTTTTATTTACAAAACGACAACATTCTAATTGAAGACATTTAATGTCAGAAAAACCGAAGTAAAAGAAAATAATAGCAAAATACAAATGTAGAACATCTTCAAAATATATCTTTTTTTTAATTGGCTATTAAATTATCAAACTTTGTAACATTATTCAGAGAAATAAACTCTTCAATTTTCACAACCCCTACTGAAAGTCCAGTGACTAATTAGGGGTGGCATATCCCCGACACTGCTCGTGCATGCCTGCAAGCGGTGCCCGTTTAGCAATACCCACGAGTGGATATCAAAATTAATTCCTGAAAAACATTCGTGCCAATGCTGCAAATTTCAGAATTTCTGTTTCCGTCAAGGTGTCCCTCAAAGCCCACTAGGTGGCAATACGAGCCCACACAATATAACAGTGCCACAAGCGCTCCGGAAACTTAGACCGCATTAAATAATATTATTAATAATGCTCCCAACAATCAATACCAGTTAATCGTTTAAAAAGTAATATACGTATACAGTCTGCGTACACATGCATGTGCGCACACACATTTAATAACCCCATTCTCAAAACGTCCGGACAGTAACGTAACGTGCTCCATTAGCTACTGCAGGACGTATCTCTTCACTGCTGAAACCTCCCTCATCTCTTCACTGCTGGATTAAGCACTCCTCAGGCAGCCACCATTACTCATGGCCCTGAGATGCAATAATCCATCTAGCTTCTGAACACGAGCTGATTTCATCACTCCATCTCCCTCGGTGGACGTTCACCCAGGCGTGTTGTAAACATATGGAGTCGAAAGTAGCTCCTTGCTCACGTGAGCAAATGGGCCAAAGCTTAGCTCTGTCGGCAGCTCTGAGCCAGCTATGGAAATTTCCACATTCCCATGCCGGGGGCCAGTCACAAAGTGCCGAACAACACGTGGCACAATCCGCAAACACATCGGAGCAGTGAGGGCAATGGCTAAACAAGCAGTGGCTCTTCTTAACCTGGGGTGCATCACGCACCTCCTGGGAGTGCGAGATGCCCTTTCTGGGGGTGCGAGGCATGGCCAGATCTTTTTGGAAGTTAAATCATCGAAACACAAATTTAAGCACGGGCACGTAAGTACAACTTACTTTGTTTCATCAAATCCTATGCATTTATTAACCTTTACTGCAAGGCAGCAGTAAAGGTTCAGAACTACTGGACTAAAGGATTCCATGGACAAGGGGATGGACGGGGAGACAAATGAGCCAATTGATCGAATCTCAAAACTGAAAAGTGTGCATTGTTAACGCTCACTGTCCATTCACAAAATAATATTTTCTAATACTTATACATTCAACAGGTAATTTATAGTGTTTATAACAATAAAAACTATACAACACTATAGGGCAATACTCGATACAGGATAGCGGTAAAAAATGTATAATCGATGTTTGGGTCAGATCGCGTGAGCGAAATGTGTTTCGTAAACACTCCTAAACCTGACACAGCTAAATATTGAAGTTGTCACGTGAACAGACGTGCCAATTCAATGCAGCTTCAGCACAGCGGTGTGTTAGAGAGAGAGAGAGAGAGCGATGCACAACGTTTAACAATTGGGTAGTTCCACGTGTCTCTAATAGCTACAACCAACATCATCAGGCAGTTGCCAGAATTGTGAAAATGTCCTCCAGTCTTGGGCCATGAATAGAGGGCTCATAAGATGTCATCAGTGTGGGCCCGCAATGGAATAGGGAGTGGCAGGAAGCGATGTCTAAAGGTTGACGTAAATGCATAGTTTATGTTAGCTTACGGTAAATTACGTGGTGAAACAAGGTTAGTCATAGTTAAATCAATTATATTAGGCAATTATGTTAGATTATTATAAATTCCGTTAAATATGTTAATATGAGGTGCAAATTCACGTGGTGATACTGGTTCGTCGTAGTTAATTAGTTATACGAAATATAACACTAAATCGTGTAATATAACTATACGAGCTGCACTACCCGGCTTCGCCCGGGAATTGGATTCACCACGCCCGGCCGCCTTTGTCTCACCAGTGGCGATGTTCACACACCACAGCAGTTACTCGTTTGAGGCTGAGTCGACCTAGGGGAGGCCGAGGACCGGTTGAAATAATCGTCACCGGTGATGGCCTCGAGCGGGAATCGAACTTGGGTGGCCGGGTTCGTAGCACGGCGCGCTAACTACGACACTACAATGCGTTACACTTCCACATGCGCGGGTCACGTGACAGATTTGACATCACAGCTCACTTGCCGTGGAAAAAATAAATGCATTATTGAGCTCCCCCCCCCACAAGAAAAAAACCCAAAAGTCTATATTTATAATTTGTGCATGGTGTACAGTCTGGAAAGTACCCACATGCCAATTTTCCAGTTTGTTGCATGTCGGGAAGTACGCTAAACATTTTGAACAGACACATATTCAGAACTTTGCCTTTTATATATATGTAGATTATAAAACTGATGCGTTACTGACGTGTTAGTTTACATTTACGTAAATACACTTTTTAAATTAAGGTTGTTATGTGATTACTTAAGGACGCATTTTGCAATCCACACGCAGCCATTTAGCTGTCAACTCGGTTGACAGCCTTGGCCAGTCGTGATTAGTTTAGCATAGAACATTCATATGCCCGCCAACCCTTGTTGGCGGGCATATTTCACAACTGATGAAACTTGTGTTTGTGAGTGTTTGATGATCCTCCATGGTATTTTGTTCTTGGGCTAAATAGTTCATCCCATCTGGCCAACGTAGCATTTGCCACAGGTGCAAGTAATCCAGTACACTCCTTATGTTGTTAGTTCGAGGGTTCATCCTTGGTACCAGTTAAGATTCGTAGAATGGGGTTATGTATACTCTGAACAGTAGAGTTTAAAAATACTTCATTTTTTAGTGAATATTCATTACAGTAATGTTTTGTATTTACAACTGAAAAGTATACATTTTTAAGTGTAAAAAAACAACATTGTCATCTGAACCATGGTATCGAACCCGCATGTTATTTTTTAATGTCAGCAACCATTTTCTTGCCTGGACACTTATTTTTTTAGCTTTTCTTCCTTTGGTGAAGACACGTGATATCATTGCTGCATTGCCCTTCTCATCCATCGCGAAGTGGAATTAATTTCCCTAAATTTTCACAATTCTATAATAGCATCACGTGGGGTATCAATCAGTGGGAAGTCAACAGCGGCGGTTGTCTCATAGTTGAACGAGCCTCGCCATAGCAATGTGGAATTTCCACCACTGGCTCAGCACAATCAAATGGAGATTAATCCTGGCCCAGAAATCTCTCGAGCAATGGCACTCTAACTTTGTACTTTGAGTGCTTTGCGTAATACAATGACCAATCAAACAGAGGCAAGTTGATATAATTGCTGTAATTAACAGAAAACTTTCTTAACTCCTCTGATCAAAAGTGATGTCGCTTTCTGGGCTCCCGTCCCATTCCAAACCCAAGCCCGGAATGTAGCGCTTTGTGTCCATTGCCTTCAAAGCATTGGCGCTAGTTGCACTTTGATCCTAGGCAGTGAAGCCCCTATGCTTGATCTTGAAAGCGGCTGCACAACTGCTGTAAATCTAGCCCTTGATGTGTCCCGGGCGTGTATGGGTCCGCGCAGGAAGCTAGCCCCACACCTGATTTTCCACCCACCGCACAGCAACCCTCCCGCCCCCTCTCCCTCCCTGTCTCCCTCCATCCCACCCTCCCTTCCCCTGCCTCCCACCATCCCTCCCTGTCTCCCTCCATCCCACCCTCCCTGCCCCCTGTCTCCAACCATCCCTCCCTGTCTCCCTCCATCCCACCCTCCCTGCCCCCTGTCTCCTACCATCCCTCCCTGCCTGCCTCCGCTGCTTCCTTGACTCCCTGCCTGCTTGCAGCCCGTCACACATGTGACACACATGCAGAAATCAGCCTACAAACTCAGCTCTCCGCCCTGGCAGCACACGTCAACATATTTGTGATTTCGCTTAAATGCTTTGCGCGAAGGGCATTTTGGCGCGTAGGGTGACCTGGGCAAATAAACTGTAAATCGAGATGGTTGTGTCAAACCACCAAAAGGCATCTGTCGGGGCACTTAACCAGAACTGTTGATATCCTGGATTCAAAAAGGGCATTGTTCCCACCTTGAGATGAAACCAGGTTCTTATAGGTGGCATATTTGGTTGTGTCTCAGTCTGGTCAGCAATGACCACATACAGTTTTTTTATAAACTAGATTATTATTTTATTTTACCAGATAAGGCCTACTAAGCTATATAGCTCTTTTTACGAAGCGACCTGGCCACAAATGATAGCTCAAAGAAAGTAGCTTATCATGTGCAAATTTATAGCAGAAATATACTCTAAAACACTCGTTTCTAAAAATTGGAGGGAAAAACCAGACAAAAGTCCACGAGACCACAGGGAGAACATGCAAACTCCAAATATACAGGCATCATGGTTTGTATCAAACCCACGACCTCCTGTATACCAGGTGAGGTCGTTCACATCCCACCACTGTTAATGTTTGTAGTTAATTCGCCCAACTCTAAAGTCTCCTTTGGCAGACTCGAATGTTCAACCAGGTTGACACAGATGAAGAACGCGCAGTTGAGCGGATGGGTAAGATAGAACCTTCTAGGCCAGCGGTGGTCAACTGGTGTCTCCCGAGGTGCATGCGGCTCTTTAATCCACCACACGTGACTCTATGGAAGAGGCATAACAAAGAACGCACTATCGCAGTATTAGCAAAGAATGATGAATGTATCCCGTGCTGTGCCGAAAACTGTCGATATATACACAGACGTATGTATACACTTGCCTCTTTTCAGAACTCATGGGCACTTTTTGGCTCTTGATCTGTTACAAGTTGGCCACCGTTGTTCTTAGGATGTCTCGCTTATGCCCAAAATGTCACATCTGTGGTTATGATGCCTTAATGAGCTCCAAACTGAGAACTAACATGTTTTCCCTGGACCTAGATGTTGATGTGATTTGAGTATGCAGTAATTATGAAATGTTTACTTGATGTGATTTGAGTATGGAGTAATTATTAAATTTGAACCAGCCCTGTGTGCTCCCTTCACAAACCCACACTTCGCAGCGTGGTGAGGTGCGGTCAATCAATACCCATGACCAACACGGCACGGAGACGCCTTTATCGAGCAACGTATTCCAAAAGGGCTGAAAATTATTAATTGTCATACGACAATTGTGGGAACAAAGAGGAAACATCTGCATGAAATTAACAGTTGGGGTGAACCAATGAGTCTGCGATGACATGTATGCGAACTTGATACAGTTCAAGAATGAAAGAGCAAATCAGAAACAGTTTCCCAGAGATCACACGGATGTCAAGAGGAGCCACTGATTGATTAATGTGGTTCCTGGAGGGTGAGGAGAGGCTACGGAAGTTTACAGAGTGAGAGGTTGGTTCGCTGAGCAAGGCTGCGTAACACATGTGCAAGTTTGGCTCGGCACAAAGAAATGCAAAAAAAGCCCCCTTTTGACTACGTCAGATGCAGAGACACGGACCCAGGTTACAAATGTCACTTCTCCAGCCTCCATTATGCAACACAAACCGGCATCGGCAAATGTGTTACGCATTAGCACCCACGGGTGTGAGTATTTAAGCGTGATGGATGCGAAGAATAAATAACGTCCCCCCTTTTGACAAAGCATTCCCGGATTAAGGTCCGCACACTCCGTCTCGGCTACGGGGGATGTTTGACCATACTTCACCATCCTGGTCAGTGCAGGTGCTGAAGGGGTGCGGGTACCGGGGTGGGCAGGACCAGTTCAAGTATTGTTCCCCACTGATGTTGGCCGGGCCGCGGTGACACACACCTGTAATCCAGCACCCGCTTGGTGGAAGATCACACAAACAACGTTGCGAAACTCCCTTCCCTGTGGGCGTCCAGGTGCCACATATTGGCCTGCCAGGAGGCGGTGGTGCGGCGAGTGTGAACTAGTCTCCATCTGCTTCATCTGCATGGGACAGGTTGTTACCCCCTTGTCGGTGTGGGTTTTCACCGAGTGCTCTGGCCTCCTTCCACACATTCGTGGAGTTGGCCAAATGTCCCAATCTAGGTTTCGCAGAGCTCGGGCAATTGTTTGCCACCAGTTCTGGATGCCTTCCCCCTCATCCTGTGGTTGCCCGCGCCTCTGAACCGACCCAAACTATGCACGTACACAAATGTGTAACTCGGGTCACCGGGGGTTCGTAACGCAATGCGCAGACCACTGTGCCTCTCCTAACCCCCCCTCCCCCCCCCAACCACGATATACCGCATGGACATAATACGTGTATGTACTGCATAGGGATTCAACATATAATTGATGAGCCTCGTGTCATAGCTCATATCAAATGCAGTTTTCTGAGCTGTGTATGGTATGGCATGTGATCAATCACCTTGGCTAATTTTACACCGCAGCGAGAACATCTGCAGATGTCCGCAGTTACAATTTGTTCCCGCCGTCTGTTACAATTGGATGTCTCTTTCAATCGCTGGGGGGGGGGGGGGGGGGTGGGGGGGGTTAAGATGAACGAACAAAAACCCGCAAGCTCTTGTATCATCTCAAAAAGATCCATGATGCACAGCTGTTGATGCTTTATACTATCCACGATGCACATCTGTTGATGCTTTATACTATCAAGGAAACGGCTTTGGCAAGTCAAGTTCTGGCCAGGTGGGCTTTGACCGTCAGAGGCCGGGTCTCAATTTCTCAAAGCCACCACCACCGCTACCACCACGCGCTCGGCAGCCTCCGATGATTTCGCAACGTCGCCGTCTTCAGTGGCGACTTTGCTGCTTTTGCTATGCCGGCGGAAAAGCTTGGATAAATCTCACACTACCCGCCGTTTGTTGCAATGAGGATGGGCGCCGTGGTTTATGCTCGGAATCCAGAATTTGAATCGCTGCCAGTGACTCGTGTTGTGGATGTGTCACAGTTTTCTTTGGCAGTGTACAATGGCATAGAAAACTAAAGTGTCTCTCTCAGCTCAATAATTAATGGGATGGCCCTAATCTGCATTTGCATTTCCGAGTCAGTAGTGAACATTCCACAGTCCGAAGACAAAGGCCAGTAAGTATTATAACCGTAAAACAAAGTGGTCCTCATTTTATCAACTTCCTAGAGAGGATTCAGTTGAGCCCTGATAAGGATTTGAACTTGTGCGCTCCTGAGTGCGAGTCATTTGCTCCAACCATAATGCCACCTGACTAAAATAAAAAAATCCTGTCAACCCTAATTTGTATTCTTCACCACAGTTCCCTTTGTTGCTTCGAATAACTCATAAGGTGTTAGAAAATCCTCAACACCTTTGCCTCTCTATCGCTACTCATCTTGTTCAATCATTGTTGAGCAGGAGGAGGCCACCAACTTGGCCGTACTTAAGAACTTGAACACCAGATTTATTCACGGGTGTTGAAAAACCTGGATTCAAACCAAGGGGCTCTTACCAGTGGCAGCTCGCTCAGTGCCCGAACACAGCATTAGCCCGCTGAGCCACCTGGCCACCTATTGCTAAAAGGGCATCAAGTGATATCAGCTCGTGCGCAGGCGCTATGGGTGCACATCTAACATCGGAGGGACGTGAGAGACGGCAACAGCTTTGGGAGGCCTTCGTCTGGCAGTGGATTAATCACGGCGGATGGTGTATCATGATGACGATGATGCCGTATGTATTTACGTACATTCAACTTCGTTGGCCACCGTACGTAGCCAACCGTGCAAATCGGATGCGCGGCGATGATGCTGGTCGTGGTGACAAGCACGATGATCACGGCGGCGACGCACGCCCACCCACCTCGGACCACGCCGAGATGAGCCACTGCAGGTGAGGCTCCCTGCGGCAGCGGCGCAGCATGCAAAACTCGCGGTGCGCGGGCTTCCCGCGGGCGTCGCAGCGCTCGTCCGCCAGCGGCAGCGAGCGGCCCCCTCGGCCCGAGCTGCGGCACTGAACGGCGCGCGTCCTCACGCCGCGTCCACACGGCTTGGAACACTGGCGGCGGCGGCGGCGGCGGCGGTGGGAAAAACGTGGCAGCGCAACGCGACGCTGATGAGGACCGACCGTGGTGGAGCAAGGAACGCCAGCCGTGCCGATCGGAGGCGTGGTTGTGGTTTCCATTGCGTAAATGTAAAGCGCATGAGTTGTACGTTGCACGTACAATGGCGTTACGTGTTTGCTATGCGTGTGTCAGTTGACACCCTGAACATCTTTGCAAAGCAAGGTGTTCCATATCAAGGGATTTATCGAGGTGAAATGTTTTTTTTTTATAAATAATATAAAGTAAACGCGGTGAGAGCCAAACATTCGAGCAGCGGTTGCGAAAAGCATGGGGTTTTGTTTACATCACAATTTTTTAGCACAGCAGGTCCAAATGTCCAAAAATGTTCGGCAACAAACGGCACCCTTAAAGTTGAAATAGATGACAGTCAACATCTTTCTTGAATTGAGCAAGGTTGTGAGACGTTCGGAAGAGAGACGATGGGAGGGAATCCCAGAAGTGAAGCAGAGCGAGGGAAGAAGCAGATTTAGAAGTGAGGTAGCCAGCAGTGTGGTGGGTGAGTGGGTTCGTGAGTGAGTGAGTGAATTTATGAGTGCGCGAGTTGGTAGGTGAGTGGTTGTGCGTTGTAACCTGCAACGCGGTGGTTGTGGATGAGGTGAATCGGTCAGTCTGGTAAGCCCAATCCTCAACGTGAGTGGATGAATCAAACAATCACGTGCATGGGAACAGTAACCGTGATATAAGAGTAATCGGGAGGTGACTGACCCCAATGAGTGAACTGAAACAGAGGCTATGGCACCACAGCAGATGGTAAATGTTCAGATTAAAGTACCTTGTGTGTGTGCGGTTTTTTTTTACAAAGGATTACTAACTTTCATCGCAATAAATTACCCGTCATCTTTAACACATGTTTAAAACATAGTGGGGTTGTTTTTGTGTGTGTGTATGTATAAACTTAAAAAAAAAACATTGGGAAATCTGGTAAAATTAAGAGAAATGCGGAGCATAGCCAAAAGCGCCCTCGCAACATCTTCCACGAATTCGAGCGAGCCGGCGAGCGAGCGAGCGGGAGCCGCGGGCTTGCGCAACCGACCTGAGACCAGGACCCCATGACCCAGGCCGGGGGACAGTCCTGTGGGTTGCAGGCTCGCGTTTTGGCGGGCGCTGGCGCGGGGCACGCCGAGTCGTCGGCGGGGAGAGTTCCCGATGCCCCGGCACGGACGCAAGCGACGGCGCGCGTCTGTTGACCTCCCCCGCACTTCACGCTGCACGCGCTCCACTCTCCTGCAGACCAGCTGCTCCACACACGCACGGGCGCGCTCGTTTTACACGGGAGATCTGTGGCGCCGCGCGAGCACGGCGGCACCAGCACCACCAGCGTCACCAGCAACAAAACTAAGACAAAATAACATCGATATTGTGGAGAACGAGTACAGGGGTGCTGAAAGAATATTGCACAAATAACAAATGCAATGTGTAATGGTCGTAAATAAAATAAAAATAGGAGAAAAAAATTAATGAAAACTGTGCAAATATAATTTGACACAAATATGCGCCAGAAAATGTAGGTATATGTGCAAGCAAGCTCTATATTTTTGGCTTAACAGTGACGTAAACACACACCAGCGTGCACATCAAGAGATTGAATCCACAGGTCCAAACATCTTCTCAGCGGCTATTGAGAGGTGACTGTAAGTAATACTTCAGTCCAACGTTAATATGATGAGAATTGTCATTAATTTGTCCAGGAAATCCTCCATAATCCCCATGGCTCACGTTTGTAGGGTCCTGGATTAAGATGTTTGGCCAATTTATTTTTGGAGAATGTTTTGTAAGCGGGAATAAACTGGAGTACCTGGGGAAAACGCATACGTATGTGGGGATAAGACGTCCGCACAGTATCAATCCACGGCTGTGGAAATCGGTTTCCGCATGGCTCTCAGCCGGTAAACGGATACGAGGGGACTCCAGCATAGGATGTGGCATTGCTAAAGCAAAATTAGAGAGTGCGCCTGAAAGTCGTACTATGGTGACTTTTAAGCTTCAGACTCGCGCCAGAAACTTAAATAGCCTAGCTATGTATCATCATCATCAACAGCAATGTTCAATCGACTGCTGGATGAAGGCTTCCCCAAACCTTCGCAACACCCATGACCGACGCAGGAATGTATATAGAAGCCAAACCCCTGTTTGTTTAGTTTGTAATGCTTCTTAATTGAATCGAACGATTCGTGTTTAGTGAACCAGACAACAGGGCTTTAGACAAAATTAATGCCAGAAACAGGCGTTGCAAAATTCAGTCAGGTGCCATTGCGCTCAACACTGACGTACGGCAGAGCCCCATTGGCTGCCCCGAACCAGCAGGGGAACCAATAGAGAGCCGGTGTCTCCAGAGGATAACCACTGCTGACATCCCAACAGCAGTACGCGTGCCACCCATTACACCAAACACGCAGGGGTTGATGAGTTGATTCGATTACGATTAAAAATTGACTACATAGACCACAACGCCACCTGGCCAGACGGAAGACTGAATGAGGCATAGCACCGCCCCTGCTAACTTTGCTCATGAGTTGCTGCTTACAAGGTCCACAGGTGAGATCTGTATCATAGAATATATTTTTTTTTACCAAGTAAGGCCCACTGGGCTGCATAGCTCTTTCTCAGAAGAGACCTGGCCATAAATGAAGTGGCTTATCATGTGGAAATGTATAGCAGCCAAATGCTATCAAAGCATGTTTTTAAGTGTTTCGGGAAAAAAACCGGTGTGACCCGGATAAACATCCACGTGACCACGGGGAGAACATGCAAACTCCAAATATAGGGCATGTGTCAGAATCGGGATCGAACCCGTGCCCTACTGTATACCAGGGCAAGGTAGTTAACATCTCGCCACCGTGACGCCTACCGTGGCAGGTTCACCAGTTCTGCATCCTCACCTGGCAGGACATGGGTTGTGGTTGCAGGTGTGCGTGGTCGTGGCCGGCTTCTGCCTGGCGTCGCAGAACGAGCCGTTGACCTGCGTCCGTCGGTCTCGCAGGCACACGCCACGCGTCTGCAGCTGCCCTGCACGCGTGCGAGACGGGGTGGGGGCAGGAAACACGTGTCAAAAGTGGTGCGCGCGGAAGATGAGTGGGGGGAGCAGTGGCGCACACCAGAAGTGTTCCGTGCTGCAAACCCAACAGCTCGGGATCAATTACCAACACACCGATGGCAAATGCTGTCCGAGCTTTCCCTTTGCCTACCTTAGCGTGACCGAGCCTTTTCTTTGTTCCAATTGTGTTTCAAATGTGCGATTGGCATCATGTAATGAGACAAAAAAAAACCATGCTGAACTCACTCTCGTGTTAAAGAAGGGCCCGCAGAAGGAGATATCACGAAACTAATTCTGAGAAAACATTAAAGTGGCCTCTTGCACCACACGAGGGGCAGTGCTGCACTTTCCCGCTTGATCTACTCTGGAGAATTGTTCATTGCATGACAGTTAAATAAATTATTGTAATTCTAAAAAACTGGAGTGTTGCCAAATTAAGTGAAAGAGCCAATTAAATTGAATAGATTCGTTTTATGCAGTCATTGGTGACGGAGCTGAGACCATCAACGAACTAGAATAGAGAGCCCTGGTGGATTCCCAAATTCGAACCCAGGATCTCAGTGCCATTGATGTCTGAACCACCTAGGCACGTCATGCAACTTAGTCTTTAAAGAGCGCCTGGCGCACTGAGTAAACGTCAGCACTGGGGGGAGATAAATGCTGCCAGTCGTGTGTAAATACCACCACACCATTGCTCGGCGCTCAAGGGCACCCGCACTGGCCTCAACGCATCACTCGTCCCTGCAGTATTCAAGGGTGAACTCGGGATATTTGCCTCTGTATTGGAATAGGCTCCAAGCCCTACCTAGACGCTTATCGCACAAAGTCCTGCAAGCTAACAGAGAACAGTCGCGGGTAAATGTTTGCCGCAACTATTAATAAAGTTTTTTTTTTACTTTTAAACACTGACCCCATGCCCGGTGTCCCAATGGGCGTGGGAACCTGAGCATGAAAAAAAAAGCAGAAAATAGACGAAGGCCCTTTGTGCTGCCCTGACAGAGGACACGTCATCGGCGCTCCACATTAAAGCCTTTCCAGAGCATCCCTTCTTCCCACGGCGTTATTCATATTTGTTCTCGCTCTAAAGGACAATTAGCGACAAAGCCCTGATAAACATGACATCATCTGTGAAGGGAAACGGCGCCCCCCAATCCACCACTTTGGGTCACTCGCCCCTTACTCCCCAGATTGGCAAGAAAATGAGCCGGACTCACGAATTAATTAGGGGGAGGGGGGGGGACATCAACGGCCGGTGATCCGAGTTTCGCGAGCATGTGCCGCCGAGCTCCGACAAGAGTGGATGCGATGAAAACGTTACGGTAATTCTGACTGAGTGTCTGCATCCACCCACCCTCCACCAATCAGTAATGTCATATTGCTGGACAGCAGGTGTTTTTCCTGCTCAAGTGAGCATTGCGCGAGCAATCGTCTCGGTCGGTGGCCCTGAGCTCACGGTGAAAATTCCACATTGAGATGGCGGGGGCGAGTCGCTCCGATGAGATCGGTTGGCTACGTATGGTGTGAAAGAAGTTCAATATTCAAACGTAAAATAACTACTGTTGAGCTGCAGAAAAGAGGTACTCATGTAAGCGAGCCTCAAAGGCTGATGGGCTTTGTCAACTGGTGGCCAGGATTAGCCACATAGCCAGTCAGGCAAAGCCTAGTATAGAGATAGTGAATGTGTTAACATACATCACATGGGTGAATATACATTTTATTTACGTCATCTGATATTTTATATGGCAGGGCCCCGTATTTAAAACACTCTATGAAGTTGTATCTGCACCTGCATGGCAAAATTGTTTAAATGTGTGTCAAGGACATTGGCGACTGTACATCAAAGTGAATACTCAGCTACCCACAAGCAACATTAATGCTTGCCTGATCCTGGCTAGGCCCAAAACTTAGAAGGGAACAACTCAAAAACAAACAGACCTTGTAAATACACACTTCGAAATCACACCAAGACACTCCTAGATACCGCTTCAGTGACATCACTGCAGTGATAATAATAACACGTAGAGCAGGCACAATGCAAGCAACTATCAGCACTCCTGATAGTTACTTTAAAGCCTATTTTCTGATTAATGATGCTTTAAACTCTTGCCAGACAGCCCAGTGGGTATGAATATTGGCTGCCCAAATGTTTGCTCCCAACCAACCAATATTTGTTCCTCCCTACTTAGTTGTACCCTCAGGGTAGGGTTCAGAGGTCGTGGTTCGGCGCTACTTTGGTGAGAGGGCGGGTTAGCGCCACGCTGCGCTGCGAATTCAGTGACCCCAGTTCGATTCCCGCTCACGGCCAACACGTATGACGAGGATCTGAACCGGTCATGGACCTGCCGTGGGTTGACTCAGCCTCAAATTAGTACTGCGTATGGGATGTAAACATCGCCACTGGGGAGACAAAAGCGACCGGGCGTGGTGTTGGCCACCCACCCCCTCGTGTGCCGTGCCCGGCCTTCATAGTTGCTGCTCACTAACAGTCTGTTAAGGCTATACATGGGATCTTGTCTTGGTAGGGCAGGTGAGCAAGGGTGAGCTAATGTGAGCGAGCGTGAGCGTGTGTGTGTTTGTGTGCGGTGTCCGTGTGCTCCCGTGTTTCCGCCTGCGGCCTGCACCTCCGCCGCACGTAGCCGAACATTCTGAGCGTGACAGGGCCCACGCGTGGCTGTGCTTGCGGCCGCTCGGCTTGCCGGCAGTGCCGGGCCCATCCGAGTCCTTGGGCAGCGTGTACTCCCAGCCGATGCCAGGATTCCGGCCTTGGATAAGCACCTGCGGTGAGGATGATCATCAACATCACCACCATCATCATTAGTGGTGGCTTCACATCAGTGGCCATGTCACACTACCGAATTTTTTGTCAATACTGACCTCAATAAATATTTATTTTACATGCCAATATCGCCCTCAATAAAGTTAGGCATCGGTGCACATTACAGCGGAAACCCGTCACGCCCTCAGCGGCTGGACCTGCTCGTTATACGGTTCACAAACCGCGCACACCACCCTCACTCGTCCACTCCGCTCTTCCCAAAAAGCGGTGGTTTTCACGTAGCCCCGCCATATCCCCGGGCAACAGCCCGGCCCGCACCTCAAACACCAGCGTCTGGTTGGTGGGTCCCGGCGAACTCAGGCTCTCGGGTCGGTTGTACGGCCGCTTGTAGTCGAAGGTTACGCCGGCGAAACGCAGCCGCCCGGGCCATGTGGCGATGCGCGCGCCATTGAGGTAGTAGCCAGACGACGACGAGGAGGTGGAGGAGGCGGGGGGACCCTGGTGTCTGGAGCTAGCCGTCCGCACGGCGAGCAGGCTGCTCGAGATGCTGAGCTCGAAGACGCGGATCCACCGCGCGCCGGGAGGGACTACGACCACCGTGTGGTACTCTGGTGGCAAACGAAGACGAAACGATTTCCCGTTAAGGCTGTAACAGACTGCTGGGGCAAGTGCTCGAACCCGGGTTGCCGGGTCCGTAGCGCAGCGTGCTAACTGCCACACTACTGGTGTCACACACGCACGCACGCACGTAGATCAAAGCCTCAGCAAGCATTTCAGTCAAGGGTGTTCTTTGACCATACTTCATCAGGACCAATGACCGCCCACAGCAATTAGGATTACACACGGCAACATCTCCCGCCTGAGCCCGACAACTCGGCACCGTTACCGGTGGAGCCGTCGTGGGGTGCGGTGCTGGTGGGGGGGGGTGGGCCTCACCGTCCGCGTGGTGCTGGGCTGTGTAGTGCCCCCGGAACACCTGGCACGAGGAGTTGTCCCCGTTACAGACGCCGCACGCGTCCAGCGCAGCCCCCGAGCCCAGGGTCTGGTCGCAGCCGACCTCCTGCGCCGCACCGCAACCCGAGGGCAACGCGGGGGAGGGGGGGGGGTGGGGGGATTACGGCGATCGTAGCGGTGTCGGTGTGGGACGGCGATGGGATTGAGAGCGAGGATCCTCTTCCTTTCCGATATAAGGAATGCCACTGGGAGCTATACGATTTTAAAGAATCTAGGTTTGAAACACTCGTGTCTTTAGAACCGATTTGTTTGTGTTTAGTTTGTAATCCTTCCCCCCGCACCTGCGATTAGCACAAGTTGGCTTCGTACGGTGCGAAAGAAGTTCAACATGCATACGGCATCCAAACGTTAGCAAACCGTGCAAATCGGACGTGCAGGGTGAAGACCAACAAACTAAGCACGAAAAGCAGTTCTCAAGAAATAAGTTTTACAATCGAGAACTAAAAGTGCATAGCTGCAGTGGCTTGCTAATATCGGAAGGAAGAGCGTTCCAGACGACAACAAACGCGTAATGATCACGATGGTGACATTGCTGATTTATGATGAGAACTTTAACAATGATGATCATGATGATGGCATTGAGGTGTATAATGATGATGATGGCATTGAGAATGATGACAGCATTGAGGTGTATAACAATGATGATGATGATGATGGCATTGAGAATGATGACAGCATTGAGGTGTATCACAATGGTGATGGCAAGTATGATGACTTCAATGATTGGCCTCTCACCTCGCACACTCCATCCACGCAGATGTCAGTGCTGCCCTCCGCGCAGGGCGTGCCATCCTTCACCTTGCTCGCCAGCGCAAAGAAGAAGTCAAAGTCCTCTGCCATGCAGTACAGCTTGCAGATGTCCTGCTCTACACACACATGCACGCACACGCGTGAGCCACGTCCCTCCAGGGGGCACGCGCGGCACCGTTACACAGGTCAGGGGTCAATCGACGCATCACTCGGTGCCCTCTATTGTAGGCATGCAAGGGGAGGGTCAAAGTGCTTCGTGGCTCAAAGTAGGGTGGGTGGTGGTGCATGTCACGATCATTGAAGCGCTTCCCAGGATACCAAAATTATGCAAAGGCAATTTTAAAAAAAACCTCTACGACAACCACATGAAACGCATTGCGCACCCATGATGCCAACGCTACACGCAGCTGGTTACATTTTGGACAAAGCTGAACTGTAATAGAACAAGGATCAGAGTGTGTCCAGGCTCAAACAAGCATGGAGTGGTGCTCATCTCTCTTTACATATTCTCTGAGCCCGTGGTGGAAAGTACATGTGTGTGTGTATGTTGAACATCTTTCGCACCGTACATAGCCAACCCTACTAATTGTAGGAGCGGTGGGGGGGGGGGGGGGAAGGACAACCAACTCAACACAAAAGCAGTTCTAAAGAAATGAGTTTTCAATCGAGATGATTTAAAAGTGCATAGCTCCGGTGGCTTCCTAATATCGGAAGGAAGAGCGTTCCAGACGGCCGCAGAAACGCATCTCAAAGGGCGCGATGCAGTCAACTTCTTTGTTTGATGGCTCGCCAAAAGCCGCTGCGAGGATGACCGCAGTTCGCGTGATGGTTTATGCTCCTGGACGAGATCAGCAAGTTAGTGTGGTTCATTTGTGGCAAGAACTTTGTGTGTAATGAGTGGGGACCAATTCTATGCATAGGATGTCAACGTTTTGTGGGTACAGTGGTTAGCAATTTGCACTCTAAACCCATCGAACTGAGTTTCTTTCCAAACCACAGCGAACATATCTTTGGCGAATAATATCTGAACGAGTCCTGGCCCCTTCACAAAACCACTCTGCTCAGCATGGAAAAGTATGGTGAAACGATCCCCATCATTGACACAGTGTACAGATGCCTTCATCCAGCAGTCCGTTTTGAAAGCCTGTAATTTACTATAACTGTCAATTTATATGACCCCATTTAGCTCTCCACAACCAGGATTTGAACTGGTCACCTGGTTATCATTAATTGTGAGTGAGATGTTCTGCCAACAACGCCGTCTGCGGGTCAGAACACCGTCTGTGATCAGGGCGCCATGGTGGTGAGATGTGAACTACATCGCCAGGTATATAGAAGGCCGTAGGTTTGATCCCGACTCTAACGCCTGTATATTTGGAGTTTGCATGCACTCTCTCTCTCTCTCTCCCTGGTTTTGCGTGGATTTGTCTTCGGGTCCTCTGGTTCTCCCCTTCCACATTTAGAATCAACATACGTTTTATAGTATTTGGCTGCTATACATTTCCACGTAACATGCCAATTCGTCGAGCTAGCATTTGTGACAGCCAGGTCGCTTCTGACAAAGAGCTATACAGCTCAGTGGGCCTTACCTGGTAAAATAAATTTTAAAAAATAGTTCGTAGTTTATAGCCTGGCCACATTAATAGGACGCGAGAGGCGCCTCGAACAGGACAATGAGACATCTTGCATCACCATCCACTTTGGTGTAGGGCTTCCACTTGTAGAGCCACCCGCGGAACGGCTTGCTGTTGTACTCGGCGCACTGCTGCGCCCGAAACGCCGGGCTTGACGTGGGGCACGCGTCCACGTTGCACATGCGGTACATCCTGCCCGGGCCCTCGCAGTAACCTCCCCCGTACGCGGGTCTGCAAGCCAGCACCAACATTGTCAGTGGACACACGTGCACAGTGTACATACGTATGTATGTTCAACTTCTTTCGCATCGTACGTAGCTAGTCGGAGGTGCAGCGCACGCTTGGATAAACATGCGCAAGTCAGTGCCGAGGTGGCCCCCTTCTGCTCGAACAAAGTTTGGACGGCGGTCATCGCCAATGGTGGCTCTGAACTGATGGTAAAAATTCCACATTCCTACAGCAGTGCCCGCTCGTCAGAATAGGGCAATCAATGTAGACTTCTTCCTGGTGATGCTCATGCTATTGACTCTTGACCCGCAACCAGGATTTAAAATTGAGAACTTTCATTTGTGAGCCAAACACTCGAACCGCAGAGCCAACGGTGGAATGAATGCTACACATACGCAATGTACGAGTGCAATTATTTTCTTTATTATTGAACGTATTAATTGGCAAACTGTAATAGCTTATTTTGTTTGGTTAATACATATTTATCTGGAATAAAATGTCACTTTTGTCTCAAGACTCATCGGTGTCATGTCTGTGGATATTAAGTGTTGCCCTGCTAAGCGTTGGCCCCAGGTAGCTCACTGCGGTGGTGGCTGTCACTCATAGCAAATAGTGTCTCTCCAAATCATAATGTATAACAGTGCACTTCTCATTAATACACGGCCCCTCTACCTTCACACAAAGTGTGCCAATTGAACGTGCAGCATTTGGAATACGTTTTAACGATAAACCATCAACATATAATTACGCGGATATAGCAATCTGCTGTTGTAATTACGAGATTCACAACGATTTACTCATGCATCCACATTTACTATAAAGTGAGCATGTAATTGTGAGCTTTTACGTATATTTAGTAAATCTCAAAACATAAAACGCTGTAATTAGAACTTAATCACTCGCAGAGTTAATCTACATTTTACTTTACAACCGTGCAATAACATTTAATTCGACATAAAAAAAACCTAAATATGCCCTATTCTACGTGATAGCAAGATAAAACCTTCCGTAGAAATGGTGAACATAAAGTGCCTTGCAGTATGGGACCATTCCATTTCATGGGGACAGAATGCTCAGGGCTCACCGCTCGACATTCCAGAATTCTTTAAGTGGCAGTTGGGGCCTGGCCTGAGCCAAGAGAAAGAACCGAAATATAATGACTATTTACTTTGAGATAAAATTACCAGTAATATGGAGTAATGTATTTGTGCATGTCTTAAATTTCCTACTGGATGTCCCAGACTGGGTGCCCAGATCAAATATGAAATAATGCGACCACTGCGCCCACTAATTTGTATGAACGCCGAGTCCTGAAGGATGGCGGTGCGTCGCGCAGACTACGTTAGCTGCATGGAAAATGTTCCGCCTGCAGTGGTTTGTATATTATAGTTAAGAAGATTAGCCTAATTCTAATACGCTCCACTTGGTCTTACAATGATCGTAGACAGATAATAAACATGGATCATGTCCAATTATTGTATTTATCCAGCGTGTCTGTGTGTTAAATATGTAGATAATTGTGTTCTTTATACACGTTCAAAAACGTCAAGTGGATGTGTATGTGCCATTGTATCTGCACGTGAGAGAGGTAACGTAGCGGTTAACGCTCTGTGCTTCGGACCCAACGACCCGAGTTTGATTACCACTCACGACCAACACCAGTGACAATTATCTGAACCGGTCCTGGGCCTCCAATGGGTCGACTAAGCCTCAAATGAGTGCGGTGTGTAAACATCGTCACGAGGGAGACAAAGGCGGCCAGGCGTGGCATCGGCCAAGCACCCCTTTGTGCGCTATGCCGGCCTTCATAGGTGGCCCGCGAACATTACTTACACCAACAGTCTGTTAAGGCTAAAGGCCCTTGTGGCAAGATGTTCACTACCTCGCCTGGCATACAGTTTGCAATCCCGACCATGACATTTGGAGTTTGCGTGTCCCTGTCCCCGTGGTCGCCTGGATTTTTCTCCGGATCCTCTGGTTTTCCCCCCTCCACATTTAGAATCAACGTGCACTTTAGCGTATTTGGCTGATATAAATTTCCGCACGAATGATAAGTCGCTTCGTTGAGCTATCATTTGTGATAGCCAGGTCGCCAGCACGGTTATCTACGTACGGTGCGAAATAATTTCAACGTGTAACCTGCAAAAAGTGGAGTGGAAGATGGCAATCCTTCACGCGCCGCACTCTGTTCAGTGAGCAATAATCAACGCGGTGACCGAACATCGATCACCGCATCTCCCGGTCTCCAGAACAACAACAACAACAATCACGGGCGAAATTGCAGCCGTCACTCTGCATCTACATCAACCGTGCACAACAGAAGAACAAGAAAACTAAAAATGCGCTATATAGCTCAGTGGGCCGGTTTTTTTTACTTTACATAATGACCAGGGTGGGTGGTGGGCGGTGGGTGGGCCCCTCTCACCGCGGGTCGCTGCAGACGCGCTCGCGACGCGTCACCCCGCCGCCGCACGTGCGGGAGCACTCGCTCCACCCGGCCCACGGCGCCCAGTTCCCCGGCACCGCGCGGGGTCCCTCCTCTCCGTGCCGCACGCACTCGCCGCGACGGCACCACTGCGCCACGCGACACCACACCGCACAGCACAAAGGGGGCACAGCAGCGTGAGAGGCGCAGCCCTTGCAATTGCGCGCTCAAGGTCGCTGCCGGCGGAAGGCGCCTCCGCTAGAGGGAGCACGAGAGAGCACGCTCTTAAGAGGGTGTTTTGGGATTGCCCGCACTTAGCCCAACCACATGCGACCCGCTGAGCGATAATTATTACCTGTGGTGTACACATTTATATCCCGAGGTGGACAGTGTATGAACCATTCACCATGGCTATTATCTCCCCCCAGGCAAGGCATCTCCCCATTGAAACATGCAAATTGGCATCACTCGCCTCCAATAAGCCGGTAAAAACTAAATCGAAATGTCCATCGCAACTCGAGGGTGGGTCAGTCTCTCTCCGACCACCGCTGGTATGTGTACAAAGCGGCACCTGATCTATTAACGCCAGACTTTAAGCAGCTGCCTCAAGTCAGAATCCTGTGGATATACTGCACGTGGAAGAATTCTCGCCGGGCTTCCACGTCGTTGCGGGGATATCTGTGATGCTGTGCGAAGTAAACATTCCCCCGTTCATTTAAAGACTGGTGAATGACTTGCAAGCGGTGACGTAGCGTGCGTGGCATGGGCCATGGTGTGAGATATTATCAGAATTATATTATTTATTATACTGGAGGAATCCGATGAGCTGTAAAGCTCTTTTTCACAGATGTCCATTAGTTAATTGGGCTCCCCCCCCCCCCCCCATCTTCGATGTAAACAATTGAGAATAATCATCTCCTGTCACTAGGCCCAGCTCCAGCTTCTCACAGATGGAGGAGGCGCCGGAGAGAGCCGTGGTGGTCATCGCCACTGAGAAGAGTAAGCACAACCAGGCCCAATTGGACATTCGGTGATATGGGGGCCCATCACCGCCCGCACGCCACCACCACTGTTCGTCGCCCTGCAGAGCTTTGGCAATTACGCGCATACATATCGCCGCGCTTGTGGTGACGTTTGAATAATTATTGGCGAGTTTTCTCTAATTGCTCTTCTCGTTATTCCCCTTAGGGTTCTGCAGAGTTACGTGCATTCAGTGGTTTGTTAGGCACTTTCAGCCCTTTTGGCGTCTCTATTTTTAATCGTGCTATTTGTGGCCTCTGATAGCTTTTTTCTCTGTATGCTTTTCTTTTGTGCTTTCCACCCCATGTTCAGGGCACTGGCCAATACAGCACGAGTCGTTTCACGCTTTAAAGTGGTCGCATCCAGGGTTCCTGTGACATAATGGCCGAGTGAGCAGCTCGAAACGGATCGCTCCTACCTCAACTTAAACTAATAGACCCCTTTCAACCGGGATTCTTACTTATAACTCATTAAAAGGTTTTTTTTTTCTCTCCCCCAACCTTCAAAACACGGAGGAAGGGTCGAATAGACGAACCTCCCTGCCCGAAGCCATCAGAAACCATCCCCAAGCCCCTATGTCCTCGTGTCCGGGACACACGAACCGAACCTGACCCCATGGCAAGGCCAGGTGAATCCCTTCACATAACCCCCGAACACGATGGAAAGTGGTCGCATCCATGTCACCGTTGTGCATCTTCTTGAGTTGCTTCGTCTGAATTCCTCAACCTCCTGCACTAGACTTCAGATGTTAACCGCCTTGTGTTGGCAGCTCCGTGCAGTCTTCTTCCAACTATGATGAAATGTGTCTTGCATTGCACCAGCCTGTGATCAATGCCAGCGCTACATTTTTAGAGGGCGTCTTTGATCATCTCGGACTCATCTGTGAGAAATCAAGTCAACGTTATGCTTCATTTCTCCATATAGGCTCTTCCATATACATTTTCTAGACTTCTTTTTTGAGAGAAAAAAAGTGTTTATGATGGTCATGGCACTTGATGGTTGTGAACACAGGACGTTCAGGCCTCTGACTTCCTAAATCAAGAGTCAAATTTACCATTCACACCATTAACCATTCACACCATTTACCAAATGTACCATTCACACCATCTCCGCTACATTTGCCTACCCATGTGTTCGTTGCCCATCCTGATGTTGGAATCTGTTTTTGTGCTCGTTCAGAAGTCATAATTGATGTATACAATTGTTCTAGGTCTACATCGTCAGGACTTGTTGGAGCATATGCTTGAATTATCTTGGGATTGCAGAATTAGACAGTGGTAACAAGTGTTCCTCATCAAGAAGGCCCTGGGTTTAATTCCCTTTCTGTATGGATTCAAACATTATCCCTCTTATTCTTGGTTCTTTCGGTAAAGTCACCACGTAGAAGGGAAACAATAAAATAATAAAAATATAAAGCAATAAAATTCTCTCGACGTTTCGACTGCAACACAAGCAATCATCATCAGGTGTGAAAACCACAGCAAGAAAATTTGAAAAAAGTGGCGGTTATTTTTTTCTTCAAAATTTCTTGCCGTGGTTTTCACACCTTATGATGATTGCTTGTGTTGCAGTCGAAATGTCGTGAGAATTGAATTGTTTTATATTTTTATTATTTAATTGTTTCCCTTCTACGTGACTTTACCGAAAGAACCAAGAATATGAATCCCTGCAGTCACGAAAGCTTTAAATCAAAATTATCCATCTTGTTCTCTATTGGTGTCTTCTGGGTTCTTTCTTGTTTCATAACATAGCTAAAAAAAAAGTTAAATTTTACTGATGCTGCCAAAACATCCCAATCATGATTTTAAAAATTGTATGCAAGTTACTCAAATTGGATTACACACAGCAGCGACAACGCTCTCCTACTGAGAACAACTTTGCAGGATCCTCCTAAAAGATAGTCTTGAGACTCAGTGAAGCTTCCCTGGGTAAACAATAATAATAATAATTATACATCTTTAACTTGCGGTGGTTTGCGTGCCTTAACGTTAGCTTGAGTAACTTTTACCTTAATATAAACATGAATCCTGACATTTGCTTTGATCCTCAGATAGCCTAAGGATTCCCCTTGATAATTTATTGACATGTTATTATTGATAACAGTTAGTTGGCTACAGAGAGATTAAATTTGTAAAAAAAATAACCGTAAATTAATACATCATTACAAAATTAGTAACTTGCATCCCTATTATCTCACAATAGTATTAATATTCACTCTGTACTCAAATAACAGACAGTCATAATGTTGAGAGAGATTTAAAAGCCACTCTGACCTAATGTTAGCATAATTTTGGCCCCATAAGAACGCACTAATTACGTCGCATAATATGATTGCTTATTGATGTTAGCGATTCATTTATTGAAAAATAATGTGCATGAGCCTGTGTATTTTCTTAACATCCCATTTTGAAAACCTTTTTGGCAAACCCCCACGTAGTATAAAGATACACAATGTATAGCAGAAGGGATTTTTTTAAATATATATGTACACTACAGGACGTGCAATACTACTTCAGTTTATATTATCGTCTGCTGATTGTTAGTGATCTGCATGGTGGTGTCGGAATCCAGATGCCGTTGGTCTAACGTCAGATTGCTTTTGATTCTGAGCACATTTGAGATCACTTGCTTCATTCACTGTGGCACCAAACCTCCACTTTACACACATTCCACAGGAACGTTTGCCAAAATGTAACTGCAACAAAAATAAACGGGCCGGGAAAATACTCTCCCGTTACCGCATTTGTCGCTGCAATATTTAGCCGAAGGTTTCCTGGTCCCGATTCTGTGCAACATTCGCATTAAAAAAATGTTGATTTTGGTGGAAAGAAAGGGCAGGAGAGGATAAACAAACCCAACTTTGAAGCTAAAGGTTAAAATAAACACGCCATATTTTAAATTATGAAATTCATCAAAAAGCAAATGCTCCACCGTTTAAAGTTTATCGCCGCTGAGGATTATTTTTAAAAATTTTCCCCACTTTGGAATAAAGTTTATTTAAATGACCGTTGCCAAAAGGAACACTCGGAAAGTTAAACAGCTTTCTCTGCAATGAATTAACCTGGAAACCGAAAACAATAATCACGCGCATTTGTGAAAAGTCTGCCTCTTAAGCTTTGTTTGTAAAAGCTGCTGAGCATCAAGATTTTACAAGCCAGGTGGACAAATTAATAAACCCATCAGAGACTCGTATTCAATGTGTGAAGGTGCAGTGCATTGCCATATTGATTATATTTCTCATTACTTATTCAAGTTGTACTACGTAATTTCGCATTACTTAATCTCTAAATATAATTAACTTCAATTCAGCGTCAATGCCAGTGTCACCATGCTCAAGAGAGCAATAAGTATTACATCTTTCCCTTGATAGTCTAAAGCCAGCGTTTGAAATTCAACATTCTCATGGCAGTGTAGTTTCTTTTCACACAATAACTACTATGGACTTACTATGAAGCTGTATAGTAGAACTCTTCTTATTCGTGGCCCGATTACCCACGATGCCTACTGTCCACTCAACGTATAGGGTCTGCAAAACACCCATTATCCGCACCACGTTTTATTATCTGTGATTATCCGTTATTTAATTTTTTGTTGGCTGATAAGTGGAGTACATTCAAAGATAACATTGCGGCATCACAGGATCTGGGATGCTGAGATTGCGCTCTAACTTGGACTTAAACTCAGGACTTTCCGGTTGTAAGTGCTCGAACCACAGTGCCACCCAACTGGTTGCGAATGCAATATAAACTGAAAGTACACCGCACAGGACGGTGACTATTTATGTATAAGATGACTAGGTCATGGCCGAGCATCTCAGGTTTGCCACTGTCCTGCTTTGCCCAGGACCGTTCTCTCTTTGTGGTACCTGTCCTGGAAATTATCGAAGTCTTTGTAGGACGTCATAAGGCCTGGTATTTTGCCAGTTGCTGCATTTACGTGTAAACAATAAACAAAAAAACTCAACACATTCATTAATAATACTGTGTGAGCTTAAAATAAAAAAATATATAATAGGTGACATTTTAGGTGATGACCATTCTTCACAGTATATTTCCATTTAGTTCTCTGTCCTCCAGTATTGCGAGATATTTTTATCCCAAGATATGTCCAATATTTTTGCATCTCATAGGTGGCAACAGTATTAAAGCAGGACTTGTAATGTCCCAGGAAGACTTGCAGATTTCCCAGGACAGCAATTTACCCTCAAGAAGAGGACGATCCGAGGAAAATCAGGACAGGTGGCAAAGCTCATGCAGACAGGACAGAGCCTCTGCAGCACGTCTGTATGAGGAGGTGGCACTATTTCCCCCAGTGGCATCAAAGACAAGACACCTTGCCTATGACTCCTTCCAACTTACTTCAGGAGTAGTTCTACGAAGGCCTCTTTTGAGGACTGTTCTCTTGTACACAGTGACACACGGTGACACTGTGATCATTCTAAATCGTACTTCTTCTTCTTCTTCCTACGGCATGTTGCTGGCACAATGTAGACAGATGTCCATTGCTAAGACAGGCTACGACGTTAAGAGGATCCGGTTTGTCATACAGCTGCTGGGATTCTCTCTCTCTCTCTCAGAGGCTCACCATGTTGCTGCCACATGCGGTGCCCTCGGCTGCCGGCAGGAACTTGGTCTCGCAGTGCCGCCCGTCTCGGTGACACCACAGCGCCTTGCAGACGTCCTGCGCACGCCGGAGGGAACGGGCGTCTGGGTCACAAGTGGCGAGCGCGTGGGAGCGCTGCGAAAGCCACCCTCCGCACGTGCATGCAAAACACACAAGTGCACAGAGACAAAGACGAAAATCCCCCAGTATTAGTCTTTAACAGACTGTTGAGGTAAGTGCTGTTCGCCAGCACCTATGAAGGCCAGCAGGGCACACGAGGGGGATTGGATGGGCAGCACCACGCCCGACCGTCTTTGTCTCCCCAGTGACGATGTTTACACATCGCACCAGGGACTCAATTTTAGGCTGGGTCGACCTAAGGGAGGCCCAGGACTAGTTCAGATAATCGTCACCGGTGTTGGCCGTGAGCGGGAATCAAACTACCACTCCCCACATATAAGTGCACGCACACACACACACACCCAGATAAAGGCACTCGCGTACACATTACACACGTACACACCGACATACAAAAGGCGGAGATGCATGTTTAGCTGTGTAGACCACAGCATATTTTATTTCTGGTCGTGATGCAAGGTGGGGTGGTGTCGCCAGCATCACACAACGACGGCTTTGCCTCGCCTGTGCCGACTCTCGCAAACTCTGCCAGGCACTCATCGGAGTGGGCCAAGTCAGCGTAAAGGGGTTGGCAAACGAAATAACAAGAGCCGCACATCAGGCAAGCATTTAGGGCTGCGTCAACCCACGATAGGACCAACAAAGGTTCTGATACCACTTACATTAGCCATGGCTCGGAATCCAACTCAGTGAGCCAGATTCATTGGACAGTGTGAAAACCACAAGTGCCATTATTTCCTATTACACGCACACATATTTTTCAAAAGTCCGCGACATAACCAATTGCAGTGACTGCAATGTGTAATTAAAATGATCTGCTGTTCCTTGAAAGTGTGCGTGGAGCTTGAATGCATTTGTACACTTTGGCGTTGAGAAAAAATAATCATTGGGCAGTTATTCAAGGAAATGTGCTATTTGAGTCACGCTAGTCAGCACGTATGATTTACAGGGTCTAGCCTTGCAGCCGGGTGCAAGTTAGGGCTTGTCGGAAGCTCTAAGTGCTAAACATACTTGCATGGAATATGTAACCAATTAAATGTTTTCACAAGTGTGTTGCCAGCTTAAGCGTGTAGGTGATGCATTGGGAGAAAACGTGCACACAACTCGGGCAACTATAGCAAGGCCATTCCGAGAAAGGTGCATTGTGCGTGTTTGTTTTCATACTATCAAGTTGTTTATGGAAATGGAAATTAGTAACATTTACTAGAGTACCAGAGACTGGTCCCAGCTATGGAAATGTAGAATTTCCACCCTTGGTTCAGGACCACTGAAGGAGGTAAGCACCACCCCGCGCTAATTTTACAAGCGATGCAACTGTGACTTGACCTTTGACCTGTGCCATACACGCTGCTTCACTGAAAGTGATAACACACAATCTGTCATCAGTTCAGCAATAGGCAGCCTTGCTTTACTGAAATAAGGGACCAGTCAATTATGGTTTGGTGTGCAGCCCAGCTCAGCGGGCTTCCCAGCCACTTCAAACCTCTTATTTCCTGCCCGCATGAAAACGTAGAAAAAAAGAGAAAGAGGCAAAATAAAAAAATAATGATGTGTCCTTTGAAAGTTAACAGAGCATGTGTTTCAGCCGGCAAGCGGCTAAAGGCCGACCACGACTGCCAAGCACGTTCACACACTATGCCACAAATCGATCGCCGGATCTATAAATGCACCAACTATGTGTGAATTGGCTTCATTCTCACCTTTACCAAACACCTCAGCTTCTTTTCCCCTCTCTGCCATGTGGAATCCCATGCAGAATTTGTCATCATGCTACACTGGACTTGCTATCTGCCAGCACAGCAGTTCAAATAACTGGCAAATCCCCCCCCCCCCGCCTGTGGCCCACTCAACCAGCATTAATTGGTGGGCAACGGTTCGCTGATCGGCGGGCCGCGGTGGCATTGGGTAAAATAATGGTGGACCCACCTCTTCCAAGCCGTCTGGGCCAGCATGGAAGAGTAGGCCAAAATTATCCTCAAGAGGGGCTTTCTCGAGCTCCCCGAGTAAGAGGCCCCAGGGAACAATCCCTCTGCTCTCCTGTGCTCAGAACCCGTGCCCCGTGTTCTCCGTTCTTACAAAGCGTCTTGAAATGCGGATGATAAAACAAATTGAATACTATTCGGCTGTGTTTCTTTTCACGCGCTGCTTCCATCTGCTCTTCTCCGTAGCTCCGCAGCGACTGAGTGCCGTTTTCATCGCATTTCCTCGGTGGCGTGAGAAGATTTTTGCAGGGGTCATTCTCTTCCGTTGAAGTCTTAGTCTGTAGCTCGGATTGAGATTGTATTTTTAACAAGCGTTTTAAGGCTGAATTGTGCTGCTCTGAAGCATTTATGTTTTTCTCTGGGAACTTTTTTTCTCATTGTTCGGATGTGTTTTTAAAAGTTATCTTTTCCGCCTTCTGCTGGCATTTTCTTTCTATCTCTTGCAGGCGAGATGTGTATCACAATCGACTCTTTAGTTAAATGAAAAAGCTCAACCTTTATCTCAATTGTGCTATAATCTCAAAGGCAAAGATGTTTCTTTTGTTTATCTTAAAGTCCTTCAAGTCACGAGAGCATCTTGCGTCACGGAACACCTCCACAAGTGTGTCTTGTGAAATGCTGCTGTCTCTTCAAAGAAATATGACGAGACAGCAGCATTCCTTTGCGCCAGTGGTCAGTTTAGTTTCCCAACCCTAACCTCAACAGTGCCCCTAACGGATGCTCTCTAGGAGGAATGCGCTGCCAATTTTCGAATTCACCAGAAAACAGATAGACCGTTTCGGATTTTTCCGAAAACCAGAAAGTAGCATCACATAACATCACGTCCGCTCTTTGTCCCCCGCAAATATGGTGCCACGTGGCATCATCACGTGACGCCACTATTTTTACATTGGGTGCTTAGTGGAATTGATCCAAAGATCCCAAAGAGATCCCAAATTGTCCGTCAAAATCCATTCATTAAGAAGACGAAACGTTGCAAATCTGACAATCGTCCCTTCTCTCCACAGGCAAGGGAATCGGAATCGGCGTGCTTGTGTTCACACCGTCCACAAAGTCCCAATAGCCAGTACAGCACGAGTCCCGTGCTCGAGTTTGTGGACGTCCCTGTGGATTCCATCGTGGCCAGGGGAGGGCTGAATCCGACGCCACACGTTCGTCGGGTCGCTCGTTTTGTGCAACGCGGTCGGCGGTACAGAGCGCCACACACGCACACGGCATGGCTCAAGGCGTCCACGGAGCCAAGGAGCATGAAGTGTATCGGGAACTTGGTGAGCGGTCTGCATTAGAGCGACGCGTGTGTTTACTCGGTAACACGAGCTGCTATTCTCCGCAATCGCTTTCAAACCGTTGCCAAACAAGTGGTTACGTTGCCAACAATTTAACAGCGAGGATTACAAAAAGCAATGACAATATGCCTTGCAATTATGTACTAACCATCAAGGTCAGCTCCCTACCGGCCGGATTTTTTGTTTTTTTTCCACGGTAATCAAAAGCGAAGGAGGGAGGAGGGGACACGGTGCAACGCGTCCCCGTTACGAGGGCGACTTACAATGTTGACAGCCCCGCTTACCAGCCAAACCCCAACACGTAACCACTCGCAATGTAGGTCGCGTTCAAGCAGAAGTCCTTCATCCACCGGCATCTACGCGCTGACCACATGATTGCTCTCAGCTGTAAGATGAGCATCAAACTTCCATGTTCACAGTCGGCAAATTACCCTGAGTGCGATGGCAGAGGGCTGGTCTATTTATGTGCTATTATTTTGCGCGATTGTAGTGTATTTTTAGGGTCTTTTTCCTAGAGCGTACATTGGCAGTGCTTATATAATGCGAGGATACAAATGAGGCGGGGTTTTTTTTTTTTCCCCCAACTTCCGTTTGATATTCTTAGCGAGTGAGCTCAAACTAGTCGACGCTTTTTTTTTTGAATAGTGAAATAATAATTGTCAATCTTTGTAATCCACATTGGATGGTGCAACCAGTTGACGTCAGATATATTATATATTATACACACAGAAAATTTAACGGGCTATTACGAGACGCAATGAGCACAAAGTGCATTGTTGCTAAAATGTATGTTTAATACACCAATTCATAAAGTGCATCTATACAATGTATTGTTCACTACCTCGCCTGGTATACAGGAGGTCGTGGATTGGATCCCGACCGTGCCGCCTGTATATTTGGAGTTTGCACGTTCCTCCCGTGCTGCACTACGAATCGAGAGACCCGAGTTCGACTCCTGCTCACGGCCAACAGCGGTGACAATTATCTGAACCAATCCTGGGCCTCCACTAGGTCGACTAAGCCTCAAAATTAGTACCTAGTGCAATGAACAAACATCGCCACTCTGGATACAAAGGCGACTGAGCGTGGTGCTGGCAACCCCACCCCCACGTGCGCCGTGCTGCCCTTCGCTCGCTAACAGCACTTGCCCCAACAGTGTTAAAGGCTATAACCGGAGGGTTGCTGTGCAGCTCACCCGCTTGCCCTCAGAGCACATGCGCGCGACGGTACCGAACAGCCACCGGCACTGCGTGTCGCCATCGTACAGCTGGCCCGGCAGCTCCTCGGGGAAGCGGAAGGGCACGGAGGTCTTGGGTTTGTCGGCCAGGCAGGCGGCTTGTGGGGAACTGGCAGCAGAGACAACAGAACTCGCAACGATCGCAACCGACAAGAGAAACCGAACGACCGCGCCCGCAACAGAACTCGAATGATCGCGACGCAGACGAATCGTCGAGCTCCCAGCGCCCACCCCTCTAGAAGGAAACGGCCCCGGCCGCTTTCCTGCCGAGTGGAATTTTGCGCCTGCACTGCCGCCCGGCTCTCAGGCACGTTTTGCGGGACGTGTACCGCGGAGACGTTCGGCACGACGCCCGACGTTTCGCCTTTGCAGGTGGCGGACTCTTTTTGAAAGGAGGAAAAAAAAATATCCCATTGGTCAGCGATTCAAAAGAAAGCATTGGGCAGCTGGGAAGTTGGTGCACAACAGTAATAATAATAATATTTCCATCAATGAAGCATTCACCGATAGATATTGATGCTTGATTCTTGAGCCCAAATTGCGCATGTAATCTAGATTTTAAGTTTTCGTGACTGCTGGGATCCATATTCTTTGGTTCCAAATAATTTGATTTTATTTATTTATTTTTATACCTCCGTGACTTTACCGAAAGAACCAAAGAGTATGCGCATGTAATGATAGATTATTTTAAATGCGTACGTGTGCATATTGTGTAGAATTGATTCACGTGTGTCAGAGGTCAAAGCTTGGAGCCGGCACTGCAACCCCGATCTAATCGCTTCCCAGTCACTTGTAATGGGCTCCTGGATTCACTACTTGGTTCACACGAATGAAAAGTGCTTTTGAATTGTACCTAACTTCGCATTGTACCTAAAGCTTTATTCGGTACCTCATAGAAAATTTAATTAAGTTCACTTTTTTTTCTTTTTTTGATTCTGTATTTTGTTTGGGGGAATTCTTCATCCAGCAGCAGATTGACAACGGCTGATGACCATGATGAGTGTTTGGTGCAATGGGATCTACCGATGAAATGCACCTCGTACATATGCATTATTATTAGTAGTAGTAGTTGGCACAATGAGGAGTGCAGGTAGTGCATCTGCCAGTCGAGTCAGTCAGCTCGCTTTCAACACTTCACGTGGCCTCAAGGTGCACCTATCCTGGCACAAGCACCGTGGTGACGTCACAACGGCGGTTGTTATTTTGGCGGCGTCATGGCTCGATTGAAAACTCATTGCTTTGGAACTGCTTTGTTTATTTGTTTGTTGTCCTTCCCCCACCCCCCCCCACCCCCACCCGCACCTCCAATTGGCACGGTTGGCTACGTACGGCACAAAACAAACTCGACGACACGCATTCTGGTACTTGTCGACAAAAAGTGGCTGCGGCGGCGGCCTTCGTTTTCTGTCAGCGAGAATCATCCGGGCGGAGGGCGGCGCCCACGGGCACTTACTTGAGGAAGCGGTGCAGGTACTGGCGGCTGCAGTCCGACCAGGTGAAGACGCCGTTGTTGCCGGCGAGCGTCGGCGACATGATGCTGCCCTCGGTTTTCTTGCACGCGTTGCCCTCGCCGTCGTGTATCATGCCGAAGCTGGTGAGACGCGCGCAAAAATCGAAAGGCAGGGAAAAAGGAATGGGGGAGGGGAGGGAGGTTCTCCCCATCGGGACAACAGCAGCTGTTGTTTTGGCGAGCGCCTATTGAGGATGGCCACGGCAGAGCTGACCGAGGGTCCGTGTGCTCGGAGCCCAGGTGTGTTGTTTATTTGGTGAGCAAATGCAGTGGTGAAAATATCGCTCAGCCACGAGTGTTTTTTATTTTGTTTTAGAGAACGATGACCGTGAGCGGATGGCAATAAATAGACGTAATGACAACTACGGCTGCCCCGGCGAAAATACCGATGGGTAACTACGATGAGATGAAATTGCCGAGTCCGAATTAAGGCACAGACTGTGATTATGTTGCCATGTCATTAGAGACTGCAGTGCACTGAGGGAGACCAAAACACGCTAACTGGCTATATAATGCGTGGAAAAACGATTCTCAATTCATTCACTGATTGGCTAATCTGATCGTATGAGTGGAACATGTGCGCCCCTCGCACCAGACTAATACTTCACAAAAATTCCACAGGTGGCCATCAACGAGACGAAGAAGGTTGACCAACGTAAATGTTGTTGACGAAATGAACACTGGTCAGAACCCTGACAAATTGTGACCTTTGACTCCCCCAGTGCTGGGTATTCACACTCCCCACCGGGTTCTCAATGAAGGCTGAGTCGACCTAGGAGAGGGATGGCACGCATCTCCACTCACGGCTTTGAGACGTCGAGCGTTACAGGAGGTGCTCCTTCAACCCTGGGGCCCTTGCCAAGCACGCTACAAACACCGCTCTGAGACAAGAGTGGAATTTAGACATTCTTCAGGGCAGGGGACCAGTCTCTCCATAGGACAACGACTGCTGGCATCTCACAAAGTGGTATTCATTTTAATGTCCTGAGAGGGATGATGATGATGATGATAGGCTGACACTCATGGGTCAAGCACTCATATATGCGAATGTCGAATCCAGAAATCTCGTTTAACATTTATACTCGTCAATAGTTTTAGGGGTTTTTTTTTTATTCCTTCAAACCGGTGAAATTTCACACAAATCACAAGCGATTTGTAAAAAAAAAAAATCACACAATGAATCGTATATCTCTCAGGCCAATTAAAATGACAAGCACGGAGATTCAGATTTCGAGAACCTCGCTCTTTGACAGTTCCCTAAATTCCATATCTGATTATGTGAACAGCCACAAATTAGACTCCGTGTTTACACTTATCATGCGAGCATGTGTACTCATGGATGTTATATTTAGTTCAAGTTTGCCTTGGCATGAATCCACATGGCATGACGTTGTGTGCGCAAGTCTTACATCCCCATTTAGACCCGGTGCAGATATGTTATACACTGCCCAAGGCAGTCAGAGTGTTGCTCGCTAGGTGTGGGAATAACCGTGTTTATGCAGGTGTATGGTAATGCATATTGAATATACAACACGCGCGCGCATATGCACACATGTGCACGCGCATACATTTCTACACGTGGCCAGCTGCACACTTTGTTTACAGCATGCAAAGTGATATATTACGGCCCTCTACAATTTCCCACAATCAGATCTTGCCAATAGATGTAATAGAAGATTGGCTGTACATCAATGTATACAGTTACCTCGAATGGTCACACCTGGCATAACAGATTTCTCAACTCGTTCACCACACAACAAAGATCCCCCGTGTAGTCTTCACAGACTGTTGGGGCAAGTGCTGTTAGCGAGCACCTATGAAGGCTGGCACGGCACACGAGGGGGTGGGTGGCCAACACCACGTCCGGCCGCCTTTGTCTCCCTAGTGACGATGTTTACACAACCACACCAGGTACTCATTAGAGGCTGAGTCCACCTAGGGGAGGCCCAGGACCGGTTCAGATTATCGTCACTGGTATTGGCCGTGAGCGGAAATCGAACCCGAGTCGCCAGGTTCGTAGGGCAGCGCTGCTAACCGCTACACTACCGCTCATCACACACACACACACATATACACAAGCAAATGTCCACACTGCATAGCAATTGATTGAGTTGATTGTAGCAAACATTGATACTAATGTATTTGACACACAGTACTGTATTAGCATGAGTTCCAGTCCCGGCTCCAGGGTTAGTGTAACAGATCTTGTCTCTGGGATCGGTAAACATGAGCACTGCAAGGTGAGGCTAAAACAACAATACATGGTCCGAAGTCAACAAAGGTGGCTGTGCTGTGGGCAAACCGATCCCTGTCATAGGAATGTGGAATTTTCTAAAGCTGGTTCAGAACCACCAGGAAAGATGAACAGTGCTGCCAAACAGAGATGGGTTGGTATAACGCGTTGCCTTTCGCGACCAATATCATCCATAATACAGGTTACTTTTGGGGGTTGGATCGCGCAAATATAAATGTGTCATTAAACCCGCCACCACCCGACACAGCTAACTAGTAATGTTTGTCACGTAAACAGAACGTGGCCAATTCGTTACAAGTACAGCAACACCGGTGTGTTGCGGAGCAAAGCCGCAACATTTACAATCTGAGTACGACGTTTCGCCAGCAATTACAACTAGCTTCTCTTTGGCTGGGGGTCGGGTGGTGGCGAGTTTAACCAGACACTTATATATTTACACGATATAACCCACCCCACCCCCCCCCCCCCCCAAAAAAAAACGTATTATATAGATGTGCTGCTTCGGCGAACCTCGTCAGGCTTCGTAATACTACTACTACTACACACAAAGGCATGTTCACAAAACCGCATTTCCGGTTGACATACAAGCACGCACGATGGGTGTACGTGCAGCATCCACTCGACATGTACGCGAAAAACGTCGCGCGGTGCGAGACGTATCCAGTTCGCCGTAACTTAAACGGCAAGTGCAATTACCGCTTAAGGAAGTGATCGTAAATGTAATCACAGACTACAACATTTGCACTTATGTCTTGTACATGTCACGGTTATTTTTCAACGGAACTGACCGCAAGGGTGATGCCGTATTTGCACAAAGCTTGATTTGTTACCTTCCCCCCCCCTGCCCGTGTGCTTTTGGAAAGGGCTTGTGCACACACACACACATGTATCATTAATTCATTAGCATTAATAAAATAACATAAATCTTGCATTTCTTTTTCCGTTGTTTTTTAACAATCTTTGAAAAATTGTTCCCACTTAATTTGTTTTAATAGATCCCTCAGGCATTCAATATTTAAAGCAATGCATATTTGCACACACACACACACTTGAAATAGCACACATACACGTAAAATACGACCTATTTCTTTTTTTTATATATATAAACGAGAGGGACAAGACCTTTCCTAGTCTCTGAACGATAAGAAACAGCTTTTCCTCCCAATGTATTTCAAAGCAAACGTTTTGGGGTGCGTCTCAAATTCTGGTAGGCGCGTGTGCGCGCGTGTGCGAGTACGTTTTACTGACACTCGGCACAAGTTTGGGGGCGCGTCTGCCTTTCTGGAACGTCGTATAATCGGGCGATCACGGTATCAACGAGCGCAATAATAATGAGGTGCTTTTCAAATAGCGAACTTCATTCCCGGGGCATCTCAGAGTGCTGCGCACGCAATACGCAAGTGACAACACATCTCATCTCAAACACTCTGTAAGGAAACCCCACACCCCCCACCCCCCTTTCAATGGCAGCTGTGCTTGAGCATCGCAAGGCGACTCAGCTCGTGGCCGGCAAGGCGAGCATTGGGTCTTGGAGGAGGGGAGAAAGGATTGCGGCTGTCTGCAATCCCAATTGAGTATGTATATTTTAAGGTCATTGCAGCACGTAATGTGGTAGTGGAGGGGTCACGGCTGCACGCTCGTATTTACACGATAAACACGGACTCACAAGTCAACCGGGCTTTCACCACCACTTGCTTCCTCCAAAGAGAAGCACTCACATTATTAAAATATACCCCGAAATGTCTATGCCACGTTTCAAAAGCCAGTACCAAACTTTTAAAACCACCTTTTACATTGGACGCCAGTCAACAGTCGAACAATATCAAGTGTGTGTGTGTTACATTTACAATATATATCATCTCGGTGGGTTTCAAAAAGTTGTTCGTTACTTGACCAGCCTAAATCTCGTTTTTCAAGTATTCTTCGAACGCCTACATCCTCTGGGTTAAGTTATTTGTTTAATGTTTCTCCGAACTGACTTTTTGCCAGAATCCTGTGTTATGAAAAGTTATTCCGTGATCCACCTTTTGCATTTAATTGACTCTGTTATTGCCTCCTAGGTGTAGGATTGTTCCAATGTTTGTTTTATTTTCATATAATTTATATATGTTTCTGCTGTTCATCTTTTTGGGTTTTTTTTTTTTACCGTGGTTATCCTTGAACATGATCTTTTTTTAAAAAATGCCACTTTTTTCAAATTTTCTTGCTGTGGTTTTCACACCTGATGATGATTGTTTGTGTTGCAGTCGAAACGTCGTGAGACTTTTATTGTTTTATATTTTTTATTATTTTATTGTTTCCCTTCTACGTGGTGACTTTACCGAAAGAACCAAGAATATGAATGAGATGCTGGTTTCAAATACCAATTGTCACTGCGTGGTCATGAATCGGACTTGGGCAGCCAGAATTGTAGCTTTAATGCCTTAACCATAACACCCCTGCCATATACAAATGCACAAATTATCCCCATATAGGTTTTTGGGGAAAGTTCTGTTATCGAGCACCTGCGAAGGGTAGCATGGCCCACGAAGGAGATGGGCCGTGGTTCAGATCCCACTCACGACTGACATTTCAATGGGCAGGAATCGAAATTAGGTCACCGGGTTTGCAGCACCGCGTGCTGACCGCTATGCCACTACTCCCCATGTGCACACACGCACGCACACGTGGTCTGCACAGGCTACCAACTTCTGGAACTGACAAACACCCCCCCCCCCCCACGCATGTTATGCTTGGCAAAAATATATTCCTGACACTTCAAAATGAAACGTAATCTCATGATCTAATTTTCCTAATTCACGTGTCAGCAAGCTAAATAAAAGTTTTTTTTAAATAAATAATCGTTTTAAAAAGTGGGAAGAAATTATTGCCACATTATTTATGCTGCACGTGTAACCCAGTCTTACTAGTAGGGAGTAACAATCAGTTTTAATGCAGAATGTACTATTCGGAATTTGTTTGCCAAAAAAACATTAAATATCATTTTAAAAAAAGAATGCTGAACACTATCCTTCCACGTTGAGCCTTTCAGATACTGACAAAACATAATTTGGTTTGACATTGTGTTGTTGATGATGAGAACATTTAACAGGAATATGGCCCACTATCTGTTCACCTTCAAGAATGGCTTTTAAGAGGTTTACATCTGTCCCATCTACAGTTTTTAGGTAAGATATTGAAAGAAGTTGGCTCAGTATTCTGAACATACACGCAACAATGGTGCATTTGTCTCCGTGCGTGTTTAATTACAAGCAAATGTTCCGAATACAAAACAGAACATTTTTTTAAAGCACATTGGAGATGGCTGGGTTTTTAGTGCAGAAGGCGAATGTCACGTCAGAGCACTTCTAAGCAAGTACCACTGGAGATTCTGGGTTCAAATCCAGACAGCCGCGCCTGTGATTTATCTGGGCTCATGAGTGCATCGAGGTGATGATCTCACCCGAGGCACCAAATATGCCATACAAAAACAATTCACGATATTGAATGTTGCTTTTCCACTTAATATTATTTCCGTTCTGAGAATGAAATACATATACATTTCCATTATGAGACCTCCTTTGCCAGAAACAAGATATAGGAATAGGTTTTACCCTTTTGACTGGCACAAAAACTGACACCTTTATTCAAGGCATCATGTTTGCAATAACCACAACACAAGCAGTCAAAATGCAAACAAAAAAGACAACTCTGATAATAATATGCACTGTCCTTGAATTTGATTGGTCCACACCCGAGACAGCTTTTCTTAGAGCCTAGTCTCCATTGGCGTCTTCTGGTCCAACACCAATGGAGACTAGGCTCTAAGAAAAGCTGTCTCGGGTGTGGACCAATCAAATTCAAGGACAGTGCATATTATTATCAGAGTTGTCTTTTTTGTTTGCATTTTGACTGCTTGTGTTGTGGTTATTGCAAACATGATGCCTTGAATAAAGGTGTCAGTTTTTGTGCCAGTTAAAAGGGTAAAACCTATTCCTACATATACATTTCATTGACATTTTGGCAAATGCACTTTGCAGGGCACACCTAATGTGTATGGTTAAAGAGGGATATTTAATAGGCTTCAAAAGTAATCATGCCGTGTCATCTTCTTCGGCTGCTCTATGACACAAGGTAGTCTACTGCTTACTGTGAGAGTCCAGAATTAAATGTCTGCATCTCATGACAAGACGCTGACAGCACCATTGTGATACAAGTAGGATAGGGAGGGGAATACATGTACACCCATAGCAGTGATCTCCAAATGTACAATTTTCCTAAGGGTTAATGTATGTTCATTTTCTTCACAAAAAGCATACAACCAAATCCATAAGCGTTACCACTGTACCACCCTGCCTGCCACCCGAATGGATATGTGAATTATTACTGAAACTGAATTTATGAACTGCTCGTTGTTGGGAGACTTCAGAGAGGCTATATTTTGGAGAGTTAAAAAAATATTGAACGTCTAATGTCTCTACATTTCCCACTATACTCCAATCCTTAATAATTTACGATATTTGATGAATAAACAAGCAAATTCTTAAACGCACAGAAAAAACTATGTTGTGCTGGAATGGAAAAATAAGTTAAAGGGGTTATAAATTTGCCATTTCTGGTATCAAGGAGAGGACCTTTGATGAAGTCTACCCAGACCCCACCACACACAAATATCTACCCCCGACTTACAAATCAGAGGTCCCTCTCACAACGCTTTAAAGTATCATCAACGTGTTACCATGATCGTATGAGAATTTAGCGATACTCCTCTATGGTAGCAGTGCTAAGCCAGCACTGGAAATTCCATATACCCATGGGTGGTGCCAGGCTAACCATACAATTAGCACTGATGATGTGCAGAGTGAACCCCAATCAGCAACTTGAACTCACAAGCTTCTGTTTGTAAATGAAGCATTCGAACCAAAGTGCCACCTGGCAAAACTTCACCATCACCACCAAGCTCAAACATTGAAGGTTTTGACTTAAACTTTCGTGACTGCAGGAATTCATTTTCTTGGTTCTTTCGGTAAAGTCACGTAGATAGAAAATAAAAAGAATAAAATAAAAAATAAAAGCAAAAAACCTACGACGTTTCGATCGCAACACAAGCGGTCCTCATCAGGAGCCTAATCTATCTACGTGACTTTACCGAAAGAACCAAGAATATTGAAGGTTTTGCCTAAACAAGCAAGTCGGAATGTTCCATCGTCTTCCTTGGATAAGTGAAAACCCATCCAGGCTACAGATAATATCTGAAGGGCTTAATGCCAACTCCTAGTCTGCCCACCTCTTTTGCTACGTATTGCTCGGGAAGGGTCGCCCTCATTTTTCATTGCTAACCGCCTCTCTCTCAATCCTTCTTCGTGACGCAGTCCAACCGGCGCTGTTAACACAACCCCATGCTACGACTGCATTGAAAGCCCGCGTCGAAAGCCTCGGTTCGCGTAAGTGGAGTTATTGGTTTTTGAAGGCCGTGGGGAAGAGCCTAAAGACCAGGGCGAGTTTATTTTCACAGAATCCTCAAACCGGCCAAGTTAATTTTCACGTGGGCAAGCACCCGCGTGTGACGGAGCCGCGACTGGGGTGGTCTAAAATGAAATGCATATAATGTCCGTGTGCGGACCGAGAAGCGCAATCGTGTACGTAAACAGTTTAGTCACGCGCTGTGGACAACGCCGTCGTGATGGCAAAGGATCGCTTTTCATCGGCGGCACAGACGCACGCACGCACGCGCGGGCGCGTTTATGAGGCGTATCTGCTTCGGAAGCGGCCTCATCCAACGCCAGTCGCTCCGCAATGCGCCTCCGAGGCGTTTACATTGTTGACTTTTACATTGTTCATTTACGCGCTATGAAGAAGGGGCCCCCATTGCCCAGGACGTTGCCACTGCAACTTTTCTTTCTTCCTGTTAAGGCCACAGTGTTGTTTGAGGAATCCGTTGAGTTTTTTTTTATTTTGCTACGTTGTTGATGTGCACATGATTAGTGTCGGGTAGGAATGAGCGGTGCGGCGCACGGCTACTTTATAATAAAACTAAGGGCGTCCTGGGCGAGCCAACTTTCAAGTTCGATCACTGGTTCAGCACACTTGGGCAGTCATGAAGCTTTACCGACTACTCAGGAGTTCATCTCTTCGCCCTATGCTGTGCGTGGACAGGGCTCCTGGCCGTAACATTTGGCTCTACAGTATCGTTGCCTTACGAGGACACGTCTCACTGATGAGATGCGGTGGAATTTAAAGCAGTCAGAGGTCGCTGTGTATAAAATAATAAATCAATATTTTTTTTACTTATACAAAATAGAGAGTGCACGTCGCATCAATAAAGGCGTATCGGAGGGCTTTACGTAAAACGTAATTCATATGAATGAACAACACTTCGACTTTATGAATTACAAGCCATTTATTTTAAAATAACCAAGCAATGTACCAGAGGCAATATAATTTAAAACCAACACAAGCTTGATTCATAGTATATTTTTGGATTAGACCATGTGGCCATGTATCCCAATCCAAAACTCGACCATGAATCACAATACTTGCTGCAAAAACCTCATCTGTTAAGTTAATAAAAGCTTATGAACAAATGTGGTAACGTGGAAGGCATATGTACACGCACATGGAATAACAAGTTGATCGATTAAACGTTTCCTCGCTTCGAGTGTACGTATGTTGAACTTATTTCGTACTGTACGCAGCCAACCATGCTAATCAGCAATTAAACCGAGCCTACTGCACACGACTGAGTGTGAATGTGGCGCATGTGCTTGTGAATGACACAGAAGCAGACAGTGTGGTGCCAGGCCTTCAACGACAATATTCAAATTTACAACAATAAAAATCGATGCCAATTGTTGAGTTTACTCGTGGTCTAAATCTGTTGTGTAACTTTTGAATATAGCGACAGATAAATCATGCACCCCTGCAATTGCGTTTGTAGGTGCGACTATAATTCTGTGCACGTGCACGTATCGACTGAGGCTTGAATGAGTACACAGTGCTGGCCTTCATAGGTGCTCGCTAACAGCACTTGCTCCAACAACCTGTATAGGCTACATGGGGAATCTTTGTCTTGAATGTATGTTTGCTGGAGGGGGTTCACACTCTATGGAACCATTGCCAGGGGTGTGTTTCCCAGGCCTGTTTAACATAAGTGATCAGTTTTATCTGAATTAGTCCTGGTCCTCTCCTAGGTCGACTCTGCCTTAAATGAGTACCTGACACAGTGTGCCAACATCTACACGGGGGAGACAAAGGTGGGCATGCATTGTTCTTGCCACGCCTTCCACTTGCGGCCATAAAAGGTGGTCGCTAAAAGCACGTGTGACAAAAGTCTGCATGACTCGACAGGGGATCTTTATTTTGATTTGTGCATGTGTGTGTATGCTTATATACATGATTGTACTCACTTGTGTCCTGACTCATGAGCGATGGTGAAGGCGACTCCCAGTCCAGAGTCTTCATTCACCGTGCAGCTGCGGTACTTACTGCACATCCCACTGATGGGCGCAAAGCCTGCACAGTGAGAAAACACACAACACGACCTTCAACAACAACAGTCGCCATTTGTCACTAATTTGACGGTGAAATTATCACAAAGATTGTGTCAGGCTAGAGGCACGTTGAAGCCACAATGGAGCGTCAAAGGCTTTGCTGGCAGGAGGTCACGGGACAGACCCAGGTACCATGGGTTGACAAAGACAAAGGTCCCCCGTAGAGCCTTAACAGACTGTTGAGGGCAAGTGCTGTTAGCGAGCACCTATGCAAGCCAGCACGGCTCACGAGGGGGTGGGTGGCCAGCGCCACGCACGGTCACCTTTGTCTCCCCAGTGCTGATGCGTACACACTGCACGAGTTACTAATTTAAGGCTGAGTCAATCTAGGGGGGGGGGGGGCACCACGACTTGTTCAGATATTCATCACCGTTATTGGCTGCGAGCGGGAAACCAATTCATGGTCACCGGGTTTGTAGCGCGGAACGCTGACCACTAAACTACCACTCCCCGTACACATACAACGACAAAAATTCTCCCGTATCGCCTGAACAGACTGTTGGGACAAGTGTAGTTAGTGAGCAACTATGAAGCTATCATTTGTGTCCAGGTCGCTTCTGAAAAAGAGACGTATAGCTCAGTGGGCCTTACCTGGTAAAATAAAAAAATAACATTATTAAGTAACAAAAATATAGTTTGAGCCCTGTAGTTTAAGGCAGTGGTTTCTCAGAGGAGTGTGGCACAGGCTGTGGTACGATGCTGCGGTGACAAAGACAAAGATCCCCTGTATAGCCTTAACAGACTGTTGGGGCAAGTGCAGTTAGTGAGCAACTATGAAGGCCGGCACGGCACACGAGGGGGTGGGTGGCCAGCACCACGCCCGTCCGCCTTTGTCTCCCCAGTGGCGATGTTTACACATCGCACGAGGTACTCATTTGAGGCTGAGGCGACCTAGAGGAGGCCCAGGACCGGTTCAGATAATCGTCACTGGTGTTGGCCGTGAGCGGGAATGGAACCCGGGTCGCCAGGTTCGTAGCACGGCGCGCTAACCGTTGCGCCATCGCTCCCCATACATACACATACACACACACGCGCGCGTGTACACACACGCACACACGCGCACGGCCACTTCGGTCAAGTCTTGCGCTCATGAATGCCTCACGTCCGGGCATAACAATATCGTTTCTCTCATGCCGCAGGTGAGTTCTCCCAGTGTGTGATGTTGGGTGATGCCTCAGTATTGTATCCTTTAAATACCTTATGCATCGGAAGCATTTCAATGCACCAGGTGCTCTTGGTTTAATCCCCCTTAACCCCCCCTCCCCCACCTCTAGCGAAACGTGAGTTTTCAAGAATGGTCTCCAAGCCAAGAGGGGGCCACAACAAAGTGCAGGAAGCCGAGGAGCAGGTACGAGTCGGAAAGAGGTTGACAGATCTGCGATTATAATAAATGACCTCAACTAGGAAGTCGTCGCTCCCTCCAGAAGGGCGAGAGCGACCCGAAGAGGCGCAAGGATCCCACGGTGACGCCGGGAAGGCAGCGGCCACGCGGCGAGCCTGCGCCAAAGAGCACCCTCCGAGCTCTGCGGTCCTCTACGTGTCGAGGCGTCGTATCCTTAGTTCTTTCGGTAAAGTCAACGTGACTTCACCGAAAGAACTAAGGATATGAATTACTGCAGTCACGAAAGCTTTAAATCAAAATTTGTCGAGGCGTCGTCGGCCCATTGCTGAGTGTTCACACGCGAGGGTAATAAACGGAGCTTCCGGGGTAAAACCGCAGGGGGCGAGCGGGAGCAATAACTCCCCAGCGCAGAAGCAACAGGTGGAGTCCACGTGCTGCTGTGCCGCCGTCTGCCGGCGAGCCAGGGCGTGGCACCACCTCGGCGCCCACAGGAAGGGAGTTTTCCGCAACATCTGTGCGACCCCACCAACCCTTTCCTCCAGCGGGTGGATTACTGGCGTGCATAGAGCCACCACCCGCCCTGCCGAGACCTCCGTGGCCACTAAGGGGATGACGGCTGCCGGGGAAGCAGAGGGCGGAATGCAGAGGTTCGAGCGACGGCGGCGGCGGTACCGAGAGTGTCGCAGGGCTTGTTCTGCCAGGAGCAGATGTCCAAGCCGGTGAGGAGGATGGCGTGGTCGTGGCGGGCACCGTTGCGGCCCGATACCCCGGCCTGCCACTGGCAGAAGCTGCTGAGTGTCTGGTCGGCGTGGTGGGAGATCACGAGGCCCGGCTGAAACCAAACAAACAACAGCAACAACAACAACAACCCCCACCCCCAGAGCTTTTTGTAACTAACTGTTGGGGGGGGGAGCGGGAGTCGAGTGATGTTTGTGAGCGCCCATGTACGTTGAATTTCTTTCGCGCCGTACGTAGCCAACCGTGCTAATCGGAGGTGCGGCTGAAGTGCTGGGACCCCAGATCGTGTTGATGGTGAAATCGGGGAGGGCGGGTGGGGGGGGTGGTGAATGTCCCCCTAAGTTTCATGAAGTTGCGTGCAATGTTATTAATTTTAAATCTGTGGTCGAGCAAACGGTCTGTGCTGGTTGGGGTTGCTTTATTTACGATTCTAGGTGGGATGAAGTAAATCGAGTTGGGGAGGAAATTGGCAAGGCATACGAGCGGGGGGGGGGGGCGGGGAGAACAGCACTACGCCCGGCCGCCTTCGTCTCCCCAGTGCCGATGTTTGCACGCCGCATCAAGTTCTCGTTTAAGGCTCAAGTCGTCGGCCCTGGGGGGAAGGCCCGGGACCAGTTCTGATAATCCCTCACCACTGAGTCACGGCAGTTCACCGGGTTCGTAGCGCAGCACGTATGGAGAAAGCAACCACCCCTCCCCTCCCCCTCCCATTATTTAGCCTCAGAGACTGTCGAATACATACATACATACATGCGTGCGTGTGTGTGTGTTTGCAGGCACACATGGAATCGTTTTACACTCTTCCGTTAACTGTCATTTGAAGGTGGCTGGGGCTGTTCGAGGTGGGGTGGGCGGGCAAATGCTGCGCCAATTGCCCCGAGCGTTCGTGGTGTCGAGCCACAACCCTCGGCACACGTCGCAGGGTAACACCGGCGTCTCTCGAGTGTGCTAGTGTGTGCGTGTGTGTGCGTGTGTGTGACAGGTTTTGACTTTCTCCGCACGCTCGCTAATTATTGCACAGAAGAAAGCATTGTCAAAAAGAAATATGAGAATAGTTGTTACACTTCATTCGGTCAATCGGTCCCTCTTTACACAAAACTCAGGGGGGTGGGGGGGGATCAGGATATACAAAAAACAGACTCACCATTGAAGGGATCTGGGATAATAATCCCCTTGGGCCCCTCCTGAGACATTTCATTCAACAAATGGTTATTTTTTTGTTGCTTGTTTGTGTATTCGATCGACAAACCCAAACGCACTTTTCTTACTTGCCTGCATTGGTGGCAAATGTGACAGATCGCATGTGGACTACGACGTGGGCCGTGGTATCGGCGGAAATGTGACAATGTCAGATACGGGAACATCTTTGGCACTGGCGGAGCCAGTGGGGCGGTGTGGTGGCACGTGCACCCCCAATGTTCCGATCGAAATCCTTAATTTCGATCGGATCAATCCTTAATTTCGATCGGATCATTCGGGTTTATTAGTAATAAATCGGAATTTTGCGACCCTCACTGCCACTGTGTAGCATATTATTACGTGCCAGGGACTCCATGAGATGATAGGACAATAGTCTGAGTCCATAATTGGCATTAAGTAACGGCAAATCAGTTATAAGTGACTCACAGAATTGTGCACAGTTGCGTATACAGTCCACGACTTCCCTGAAGGCATCAACACCTTCAGCGAGCGCGATGCCGATCACACAACGCGGTTCGAATTCGATCCTCGATCGATGGCTGCGCCATCGCTGCACAGGCGTCGAAGAAAAAGCAAGGGACAACTCCTTATTTACTAACAACTCCTTATTTACTAACAACTCCTTACTAACTAACAACTCCTTACTAACAACTCCTTACTTACTAACTCTTTACTTACTAACAACTCCTTACTAACAACTCCTTACTTACTAACTCCTTACTTACTAACAACTCCTTACTAACAACTCCTTACTTACTAACAACTCCTTACTTACTAACAACTCCTTACTTACTAACAACTCCTTACTAACAACTCCTTACTTACTAACTCCTTACTTACTAACAACTCCTTACTAACAACTCCTTACTAACAACTCTTTACTTACTAACAACTCCTTACTTACTAACAACTCCTTACTAACAACTCTTTACTTACTAACAACTCCTTACTTACTAACAACTCCTTACTTACTAACAACTACTTACTAACAACTCCTTACTTACTAACAACTCCTTACTTACTAACAACTACTTACTAACAACTACTTACTAACAACTCGTTACTGACTAACAACTCCTTACTTACTAACAACTCCTTACTAACTAACAACTCCTTACTAACTAACAACTCCTTACTAACAACTCCTTACTAACAACTCCTTACTTACTAACAACTCCTTACTAACAACTCCTTACTAACAACTCCTTACTTTTGATTTAAAGCTTTTGTGACTGCAGTAATTCATATTCTTAGTTTTTTCGGTGGAGACGACCGTTTGAGTTATGGTCGAAACGTCGTGAGAATATTTTGTTGTTTTATATATTTTATTATTTTGTTGTTTCCCTTCAACGTGACTTTACCGAAAAAACGAAGAATATGAACTCCTTACTTACTAACAACTCCTTACTTACTAACAACTCCTTACTTACTAACAACTCCTTACTAACAACTCATTACTTACTAACAACTCCTTACTTACTAACTCTTTACTTACTAACAACTCCTTACTAACAACTCCTTACTTACTAACTCCTTACTTACTAACAACTCCTTACTAACAACTCCTTACTTACTAACAACTCCTTACTTACTAACAACTCCTTACTTACTAACAACTCCTTACTAACAACTCCTTACTTACTAACTCCTTACTTACTAACAACTCCTTACTAACAACTCCTTACTAACAACTCTTTACTTACTAACAACTCCTTACTTACTAACAACTCCTTACTAACAACTCTTTACTTACTAACAACTCCTTACTTACTAACAACTCCTTACTTACTAACAACTACTTACTTACTAACAACTCCTTACTTACTAACAACTCCTTACTTACTAACAACTACTTACTAACAACTACTTACTAACAACTCGTTACTGACTAACAACTCCTTACTTACTAACAACTCCTTACTAACTAACAACTCCTTACTAACTAACAACTCCTTACTAACAACTCCTTACTAACAACTCCTTACTTACTAACAACTCCTTACTAACAACTCCTTACTAACAACTCCTTACTTTTGATTTAAAGCTTTCGTGACTGCAGTAATTCATATTCTTAGTTTTTTCGGTGGAGACGACCGTTTGAGTTATGGTCGAAACGTCGTGAGAATATTTTGTTGTTTTGTATATTTTATTATTTTGTTGTTTCCCTTCAACGTGACTTTACCGAAAAAACGAAGAATATGAACTCCTTACTTACTAACAACTCCTTACTTACTAACAACTCCTTACTTACTAACAACTCCTTACTAACAACTCATTACTTACTAACAACTCCTTACTTACTAACAACTATCATTTTTAATTGCTGTAGAGGTTCGCCCCCCTACCTAAAAATGCTGGCTCCGCCATTGACCTTTGTAAGGTGACCGTCACACCGCCGTACTGCGCCCGGCGTGGGCGGTCAATCGGTCAGGGCGGGTAATCTGTGAAGGTTGGATGTGCGACACTGTGACCCTCTGCAATTCAAGTGAAATCAAAACGTGCGTCTCCGTTCACGCAAATAATAGGGGGGTAGGGGGGGGGCGGGTGCTAATTTCCACACGAGAAACTGATGGGAAACTCCACGATCACATATCAAGCGGCCGCCTGACCACGGGACGGCAGACGCCCGCCGACTTCCACGAACGCGACGGCCGGTTTACGTAAAGATCAACGGTTTGCGTTCAACACGACTTCACCTCGAGTGTAAGGGCGCATTCTGCGACGCAAGAGCACACTCTACGATGCCAACGACGCGAATGATGAGACCGTTTTGTTTTCGAAGCGGTTCTTTTTTGTTTGCCTTCCACGGTAGCACCGCGACACCCACTGCGACACACGGCGAAGCAGGTGGTCGCCTTCACCCGAACCGTGAAAGCCGCTATGCCTCTCCGAGGCTTAATATAATTCTCTGCACGCCAACCCCTTGCGGACGTAAGCATCTCGCTCCGTCAGCACACAAAGTCTCGGTTGATTGAGTGTGGCACTGGCACGTTATATTTTCCTTCTTACTCTTAAATCCATTTTGACTTCCTGTACCGCATTGCACATGTGGCCTTTACGTACGCAGACCACACACTGCCATCGGTATTTATTGTCGAGAATTCCCGGGATTCCTTCATTGTGTAGAGTTATTTCAAAGCGATGAAGGTTCAGAGCTGAAGACTGAGCAGAGGTGCTAGACAATGCGTATTAATTCAGTGGTGTTATTCCCACATCCGCATAGGCTGTTCTCCGTGTATTTCAGTTTCCTCCTGCATGTGAAATTATTCACAAAAGGGATTTACAAATTTTCACAGGCACGACGTACCTGAAAAAGAGATTTGAGACCCATTTGATTAAATATTACGTATGTAAAAAAATTACAATGTAAAACGCTTGACTCAACAGCTGATGAATACTCCCTTTCGTCTTGCTTTTGTTAACGTGCTTATATTATACCACCACTGCTTCCCGTAGCTGTCAATCTGTCCCAATTTGTCTGCCAGCTCAAACGAGCACAGCGATCGAGTTAAACTCCGTTACTTTGAGCCAGAGGAGAAAATTCCACATTCCTACTTTGCGGGCTAATATATATATTACTGTTTATAGAATGGTACTTATTTTATCGACCCCTGGTAGTTGACATGATAGGATGTAAGTCTCACCCCTGATAGGAATTCGAACTTACAACCCTCCAATTGTTAGTCGAGTTTGTTGAACCCAACATTGCCACAATGGTGGCAATATTGGAATGGAACAAACTGAAGTAACAATCATTGAGATATTGTCGGCATCGCTCTATTCGAGCGTGTTGCCTGCCAAGCGTAAGGTCACAAGCAGCACGCAGCACACCTTCCATCGAACCATCCCGCACTTACACTAAGGAACCAACACAGCTCTACACTCTGAACGCGA